AGGTCGGAATATGGATTAATTTACGCATGTGTATATTCCAATTGCATTTCTTTAATGGTAATATATAAAACATCAAAATAAAATTTATATCAGTGAAATCAGAAAAAAAATCTAAGTATTATGAGACAAATGACTGGTGTCGTTACTTTCAAAATGTTGTTAGAATTGAGTTTGCTGCAAATGTCGCCGTAGCGGCGCATGGGGATGCAATAAAATTGCTTAAAATTTGGTTTGTCTAATTCCAAAAGAATTGGTGTACAATCAGATTGTTTTTTAACAAAATAATTTTGCAAATGACCAATGACAAGGTAAGTAAATTTTCGAGTTCCATTTTTTAATTAAAAAAAAAAACAGCTGTCAATTATATTGAAATGACTGGACTTTAATTTATTGTGGGGAATGGTTGTGTATAAAGTCGTAAGTTTTTAACCTGTTGATTTTGGTAAAATCTGTGATTTCAAATTGTCCAAAAGTTCCTTGGAATTTTTAAGTATCCACATCTGATTTACACCACTTCCTGAATATATTGCTGAACAGTACTCTTGAAGTTTCTCCTTCAGTACTATTAATATATTAGTAGGGAGTAAAGAAAGAGGCTTGTTTGAACATTTACTGGAACCCGCTATGTTTGATGTTTCGGAATCAAAAAATACATATAGTTCAAAATGATTTTGGTTCTTTGGGATATTAAAAATATTCAAAACTGGCATTTGATTTTGAAGAATTTCCTCCTAAGAAAGAGAACTATGAGTATAAGTTGCTTTACCACTTGTAGAATTAAATCCAAGTTCTTCTAAATTACAATTTATATAATGAGCTTTACATAAACAAAGACAATGTTGTTACCTGCTTTGTAAGCAGGGACCAGTATGTACTGTAATTTATCTTGTTCTTTTTTCACCTCTGGATTATTGAACACAGAAGGATAGATGTTCATATTGCCCCTCAGTCTTTTAATACTCGATTTTACCATGGATCTGATAAATTGAATCGATTCTGACAAAGAGTCAATGTCTTTTGTTTCATATCTGGCCCATCGTCTGGCGTAATCTTCAATGAAATCCATAATGTTTATGAAATTCCGACGCCACTTGAAAGATTGGGGTTCCCTATATTTAGGACCTTTTAAAATAAGTGATCTAAGGTCCTCATTATTAATTAACGTCACCTGTAATAACGTTTCCAGCGGGACTATAGTTATAGGGTGAGGAAGAACATGAACACGATTGAGGATTATGTTTCAGATACTCGGTATCCAGGCCATGTAAAGTTTTTTTTGTAAGTACTGTACAACAGCTTATTTGAGAAGTGGTGTAAATCAGATGTGGATAATTGAAACTTCCAAGAAACTTTTAGAAAATTTGAAATCACTAAATTCTAACAAAATTAAAATGATAAAATCATACGGGTTTTCATCATTTTATTCAACTATTCCCACGGTGAATTAAAGTCCAGGCTTTTTGACATCGTGGACAGCTGCTTTTTCAGAAAAATTGAAACTCGTGAATTTTCTTACCTTGTTATTGGTCATTTGCAAAATGATTGGTTAGACATTTTGATTGTACACACAAGTACTCTGAAGTTGATATTACAAACATGCTTGAGTTTCTGATTGACAATATCTTTGTAGTTTTTGGATATCAAGTCTTCTTACAATCTGTTGGAATTCTCTTGGGTACCATTGCGCCCAGTTGTTAACAGACCTATTTTGTATTGATATGAAGCAGATTTTATTAAAAAACTTCTACATAAAAAGAAGAAAAAACTTGCTGTGGCTTTCAACTCGACATGTACATATATATCAACGGCGTAAATTATCTATGAACAACAGTTACTTCCAATCATATGTCTACATGGTATATGTGGCAACGCACTTTGAAAATTTTTTTCAAAGTGCGTTAAAATTGGGACAAAATCAACGCACTTTGAAAAAAATTTCAAAGAGCGTTAGGTTTGGGACACACTCAACGCACTTTGAAAACTTTTTTCAAAGTGCGTTAAGAGTGTGCTTAAACATTTTTACCACGGGGACATTTTATGCACTTTGAAAAAAATATCTATAAAACAAAAAATTCTAGACCTAGATTTTAGTAATTAAGAGAATCAATTTGTAATAATTACATCTTTCGAAAATGTTTTTAATTCATATATAGTCATTTAACCTCAATGAGAACAAGGAGAAGACGAGCAGCTTAAGAAGGTCTCTCAGTTCAACTTTTTTTCTTATAAATTGTACATAGCAATCGGTAGCAAATTGAAAGTGGACCAGCCCCCCCCCCAGGTCATAAGCCCGATTTTCAATGCCTTTATTATGTATATCTTTGCAAAACATTCGTGTGCCTAAGACCCCCCTTCCAGTACTCAGATGCCTATGTTACACCCAAATGTATATATATAGTCACATAACTGGTATGACGTTGAAAACTAGCAATAAATTCTAGTTTACATAAAATGCATGCAAACTGTAAAAAAAAAATTACAGTAAAGCATTTAAGAGAAAAAGAATTTTCAAAGCAAAGAAAAATCAAAATCGCTTACTTTCACATCCTGAAGTGACCTCATCACCGAAGAGTTATCAAACAGGTTCAATTATTTAACATATCTAAGATTTGCAAGAATATTGACCAAGCCATACATTTTTTCAAAGTGTGTTAATATGGTCGATATTAACGCACTTTGAAATTTTATTTTTTCACAGTGCGTTGATTTGGTCCAAAATTTAACGCACTTTGTAAAAAATTTTCAAAGTGCGTAATTTTTCAAAGTGCGTTGTAACAATGGTATATCCCCGTGTGTATAAAATAAAAACATACCACAGAGCCTAACACATGTGTCCATATTTTACTAGAAAAAAAATGTTATAGGTAAACTTACAACCGAGCTTTATGATAAACGTGATGACTTCAACTTTTCAATAGTCAACTTCCCTTGCAATTTCTAATACAAGGCAAACTATGGACAAACAAATTGATAAAACACGTATATCAACAGTCTTGTTTGAAATCATCATTTCGCAAGTTTTTTTGGTCATACAATGACCTTGTTAGCAAATACAGCCTATCATGTGTCAAATGTTGACTGACCTTTGTCATGCTAATTGTTATTTCATTATTTACACACAGCTTTGTCTATGTTTTTCCCCAATCGTGACAAGGAGCCCACGGTGGATGCGAACGGTCGGCAGGGATGCTAATTAACTCCTCCCTCGGTACCTGATCCCACCTCTGATCTTTTAGAGGTCCGTGTTTGCTCTGCTCTCGATTTGTATTATTTGATGGAATTTTGAGATTGAATACAGTTCGTTATCTCTATATATTTTATTGCATAATTAATAAAATAATAACCATGTTTCAATTAGATGAAGTCGGCACAATATTCGCTCCGTTATCGGAATATTGTTGGTTCTAATCCCGGCCCAGATTGACCTAAGTCGACGAAAAAAAAAAACCAGGTAGTAACTGTTCCTTCCCCAAGTTGTCGGTATTTTTTAGTAAAAGTTGCAGGTCTTTCTGCTGAGACCTTAAAAACCAAGGCCCTTATTGCAACGGACGTTTCCACAATAAAAATCCCTCAATGCTCAATTGTCCTGATAGCCAAGAAAAGGTCTGAATTTGGTGATGCCCCTATTATGAGTGGAAAATTCCTGAGCGGGATGTAAAACAACTTACAATCAAATACTAGTAGATACTCGTACCTTGTAAGAAAGTGAAACTTTTCACAATATGGATATATTATTTTTTCGAACACTGGAATTAGAATTAAAATCAGGAGTGGATTAAGTGCTGACATTTGATCAGGTTTGAGGGTCCCAAAGACGCCCTGAAAGAGAATATTAGCGTCATATAGGACAAGACATAATTGAGGACAAGACAAATATAGAATAAGAATGGCATAAATATTAGCGTCATATAGGACAAGACAAATATAGAGGACAAGAAAAATATACAATAAGAATGACACAAATATTGTCTTCTATCACATCTGGCCTACAAGCTAATGCAAAACTATAATTACGAAATTCTGAAACCATATAAAATTATTATATTTTAAATTCTTAACTCTACATAAGATGAAGAGTAGGAATATCTCATACCAAATCTCCATTGAGTTTTTCAGCTTGAAGCGTCCAGCGAGATCCCTGTTGACTAGAAAGAGCCCAGAAAAATGGAGCAGGAATAAACATGAATAGCACCTTCAGTAATATTTGTACTTCTCTGATAAACTTGGGCTACAAAAAACACAAATGATCAAATCTTAAAGATAAAGAACATTTATAGCACAACCAGCAAATTATGTAGATCGTAAGCTCCACAATAATTTTTAATGATTTATAAATCAGAAACATTGTCCTGTAAAATGTAGATAGATGTTTTTGTCTATATTTAAATTTGGTGCATGCTTTTTTATTTTATAATTTTGTATATGAAGAAAAAGCCAAAAAAAATTTGTGTACCTCTCTCATGAACTCGGGCTGAAAATAAAACACAAACTTCTTTTTCCACTAATAATTAGCACCGAACCATGTATTTATATACATTTATTTAATGGATTCAAAGGTAACATGAAAATGTCAGACCTAGTTTGCCTGAGGTCAATAGGCCGAAGGAAACAGTTTCGTTCGAAGTTTTGGAAAAACAAACTCAATATATGATTTTTTTTCAAGTTTGTAATGGATGCTGTTAAATTCGATTATATTTGGTATTAATTTCGTCTCCTCTAATGCGGTTTCAAATTAGTCAATTCTGTAAGTGTTTTGTGCAAGAAGTAGTTAATGATTAGCTTTCTGAAAACAAACTATTTTCTTACACGGTAACATATTTCAAAATGAGAAGACTTAGTAATAAATTCCCAAAAATTATAAAAATGTCCTATACATGTAAATAAAACTAGTTTTTTTGAACTGCTGATTAAATAAATAAAAGATGAAGATAAATACCTCAAAATTGCTGTCTGCATAGTACAGCCAGTGTTCCTTTTTATTAGGGCCCCCACAATTCCTTATCTTCCCCCATAATGCATACTGAAATCAGATGTCATTTTAAAGTGAATGTTAAAACACATTACTATAAACTTAATTAAAAATTAATGCTGTATTAGATCAAAAATATATTGATTTGAGAGAAAACAACCCTCCGTGGTAACAAAAATGTATATAATGTGGATACAATGTTGAAATTCAAGCAATTCATTTATATCATAATGGAAAAAAATTAAGAGAAATCAGTGTCTACTTAGATGATAAAGTCAATCTCTCTAAGCACAACGTGCTTAAATTCTTTTCCTTTTAATTTTTAAGATTTACATTTTACATAGTGTCTTATAAACTACCAAGTTTAACTTACCAATATGCATTTAAACACTCTTTTCATCAGATTTCCTGAAGGTGGCACTCTCTTGTACAGACTGCTTCCAGCAACAAAGATGACTAAAGAAAAATATAGGTAATTTAAAAACTAAATATTTACCTTATTGATGGTAAACATAATTATTTCACATCAGATCACGTAATCTGACAACGGTTTAAAGCAATATGAGCTGCATTTTTGAGAATTTTATTTTGCTGATAAAATGTGTTATTATGATTTGTCTGTATGTAATCTAAACCTGTAAGATCAATAAGACCAAAATGAAGTTTAAAAATGTTTCAGAAGAAATATTTCTGTACAACCGAATATACAGTATTTTATAAGAAATCATTATTGTACAGGACGACAATAATTCAATTTTGCTTCAATCAAAGCTTATAAAAAGTTCTTCCATTGCAAATATTAACAACAAATCTAGAAGTTTATAAATGTTCTATTTTTCTGTCATTGAAATAGTTAATTACAAAATAATGCAATTTTTTTCCGATGTCCAACATGCAGCTCATATTGCTTTAACATTTTTATAAATGATAACAGTAATTTATTCTATGATAAGGACAGTCTTATGGGTAAAGGTGATTCCAGGGACAGATTGTTCAGTACTCACTAGTGGATAAAATCATTAAAACTGCTGGAATCCCAAAGGCTAAGGGATAACATTCATTGCCATAACACTTAACATCAGCTGTGACAGAGAAAAACAGAAGTGATCAAGAAGATATATACTAGTATATAAAAGTCAACACTTTAAATAATGGAATTTGAAATTTATACTGAGCAGCACATCATGTTTATCTCATTCAACATTCAATATAAATAACTTAAAAATTCAGACGATCATGTATTTGAAAAACATTAAATAACCTCTCAATATTGGAGTCAAAACAATGGACAGCATACTTCCCAGGTTTATTGAAAAGTAGAAAGCAGAGAAAAAAGTGTATCTCTCTTTTTCCTAAAATAATTTTTAAAGCACATTAATATACATGTACCAATCGGATTACAAAAGTGTCGAGTATTTTTAGATGAGAAGAAATTAAACTTCATTTCTTTTTTAAAATAAGAAACATTTCTCTACGCAGTTTAATATATCCGTACAGTATTTCTTGTTCAGTATTTCTATAGCAGATGTTAAGCATCTTGGGTCATCTGAACATTGAAATCCTTTGCTATATGTTTCTGATAACACAATTACCTGGTCTGCCTTAAACTGATCAGCTCCGAATGATGACACGTTTGGCTTAATACCACCTGTACCAAGACCAATGAGAATCAAGCCAATAGCAGGACCATACCTGGTAGAAGCACAGGTAAAATGTTACAACTGTTTTGTCACATTATAAGCTGTACAATTCAATTCAGTGGACAACACATACCATTCAGGAGGTGGTAGTGCAGTGAAGGCCATGATTAGGTTACCAGTGGCGTAAACAAGGGAGAGAATCAGTATAGTTCTGAAATTATGAAGTCATTGTCATTGAAATCAAATCAGCTGCATTTCATCAACATCTTTATGGATACGTTCTTAGATATCTCATGTAACATCTTTCATTCATTGAGATTAATCAGTGAGTCTGTTGAAATATGCAGTTTACAACAAATTAGAGTCAGCATTCTCCGTACAATACAAAGCATGGTTAAAGACATCAATTAAGGACTTAAGAAAACAGAGAAGGGTCCAGGTGCCATAAAGGAAAGGGCATTTCCTTTTGACTGGCCAAACCTGCTGTGTTCTTTGTCGTGATCGGATAAAAGAAAAAAAAATCCGGAGAAATGTTTACATAAATGGTAAGAAATATTCTATAGTCAAAGAAAACTGCTTAAGCTTCCAATATTTTTCGTCAACGAAAACAAGTTGGTTTACAGTATATAATTACTTGTATCTTCCGAGGTATCCGTCGGCCAAGATGGCTCTAAAAAGTGGACTGAAGTAACACATCGTGATAAAAGAATGAAAGATGGAGGTCCCCACATCTTCACTGAATCCCAGCCAGTTAGTCAGGTACAGGATCAAAACAGCTAAATAAACAGACAAAAACAATACATATCTAAATGATACAACTATTTAAAGACAAATGTAAAAGCATACACTCTGTACCTTATGGAAAACTGTTCTTGAATAATGTGGTTTCATTAATTTTCGTTGGTATCAATTTCTTGGACTTTGTAAAACAGCCGCTTTCTAGGATACGTTATTTCGTGGATAATGGTATAAATGAATAACATATTCCTTAATTCAATGAACATTCAAATTCGTGGATTTGCTCAACTACGAAATCCACGAAAATTGGTGCTCAGCGAATATTAATGAAACCCAGTATGTAAATCTATTACTTAAAATTCGCTTTTAACTGAATAAAAGAAGATAGAACCTAAATCTCTCGATATTTTCGTATTGTCAGGTCCGCTGATTAATGTCCTACTTTCTTTGAGATGTTACAGGGACGTGGCAGTGTCAAAGTGATATTTCAGCAATCACTCATTTAGTTGCATACTTTGATTTAGAATTGGAAATGTTTATTAACGTACGCCATGATTTAATACTGTTTGTACCATCTTACCTCCCATGCCATAATAAGAAAACCTCTCACAAAATTCATTTGCCAAGATGAAGAACACGCTGTTGGGACAAGTATTCTACAAAAAAACATACGGGATTATTTTTTCTAAAAGTGATTTTTTATTTATAACATATTCTTGCTTTTCGATGAAAAGTGCAGAAAATTATTTTGTTTATTATTTTGCATTTTGCATTTAAACTCTAAAAATCTCTAAAGATTCTCTATTCTTTTTATCCTATCCTACCTTGACACGTCCCCATGCTTTTCCACTCAGTTCCCCGTCTCCCTGTCCCCCTCCTAATTTATCTCCCTTTATCAAAGAGGAATCTGCAGCAAAATAAATTATTTATTCATATAGGGACTCAGTACTTCTATGGCAATTTTTATTTCTTGCAATCTGTCATCAACAAATAACTCTGTGAAGAACCATTCTGCTTGTACAAAAAGTACTCTGAAATTGATTACAAGGATAATGGAGTTCCTCATTCATAATGTGTATGTAGTATTAAGAACCATATCTTAAAACAAACAGTTTCAATTCCTTTAGGAACTAATTCTCCTGTATAAAAAAAACAAGTGTCTTTCACATTTGTTTTATATGTGGATGTTTGACTTACTATAAGTAGGATACGGAGATAACGAACAGTATTCAATCTCAAATTCCATAAAACAATACAAAATAGGAGCAGAGCAAACACTGACCTCCGAAACATCGGAGGTGGGATCAGGTGCCATGGAGGAGTGAGCATCCCCTGCTGACCGGTCTGCTCTTTATCATGATCGGGAAATAACAGAAAAATCCGTCGTCAATTCAGTGTATAAATAATGGACAAATGATAATTAGGAACCAATCAACGGCTAATTTGTTTTTTACAACGAGTTGACTTCAGCTTTTCCATCGTCAAATTTCCTTATTTATGCAGCAATATTCCGCTATCAATTACATATGGTTTTGACATATTCCATCTTATAGGATACACACGAGCTATGTCTGAATCAACGGGCAATTGTTAAGCAGGCAGTTAAGTTCATGTTAGAGGGATCGTAACATTTTCGTTGAAAATCAACATTCCGTAACTGTAACCCATCATTAATGCAATATGAGCTGCAACTTTTAATGCAAAATTGTAAATAACTATTACTATGACAGATAAAAAGAATGTTTATAAACTTCTATTGTTCATATTTGTGATGTAAGAAGTATTTATAAGCTTTGATTGAATCAAAATTGCACTATTGTCGTCCTGTACAAAGATTTCTTACATAATACTGTATATTCGATGCATAGACTCTTTCTTCTGAAACAATTTAATGCTTTCTTTTAGACTCATTGGTCATAAAGGTTTGAGTTACATACAAATTTATCATATTAATACATTTTAACAGCAAAATAAAATTTTCAAAAATGCAGCTCATATTGCTTTAAGTAGTATTTTGGCTGACGTTTATCATACCAATTATGAGGCCTTTGTTTATTTTAAATTTGACCACGGAATGTTTCGTCTATAGTACTAATACAAAGGCTAATTAGGACTCTCGCAGGGCACATTAGAGCATAAGGCTCCAGAATTAGGGCACCTGCTCAAAGTTTTAAGATCTACCGCACCATCGAAGGCATCGACGCACCTTACACATTTAGGGTAACCGCTAGAAATTCTGATTAGGGCTTTGATCAGGCATCAGGATTAGGACCTTTAGCTACAAAATTCTATTGATAGATATATAAACAATAAATAAAAACATGATAAAGTAAAAATCAATTTTAGCAAAATGAAATATCATTGAGTAAATGAAAAACTTTTTAAAAATTGCTAGCTCTATATTAGATTTGGCAGGTAGGATATGGAGATAACGAACAGTATTCAATATCAAATGTCCATAAAACAATACATAAAAGGAGCAGAGCAAACATGGACCTCCAAAACATCTGAGGTGAGATCAGATGCCACGGAGGAGTGACCATCCCCTACTGATCGGTCACATCCGCCGTGTGCTCCTTGTAATGATCGGGAAAGAACGGGAAAATCCGTCGTCAATTCAATGTATAATAATGGAATAACAATTAGTATGAAAAACGTCAGTCAACATTTGACTAAATGATAAATTGTATTTGCTGACAAGGTCATTGTATCGACCATAGAACTTACGAAATGATGACTTTAAACGAGACTGCTGATGTTCTTGTTTTATCAACTTGTTTGTCAATAATCTACCTCGTTTTAGAAATTGTTCATACGTAGAGCATGCTCTTGCGTATCGAATTAACTGAGATACATTAACTCCGTATACAGGTGATGAAGGTATATTGCTGCATAATTGAGGGAAGTTGACGATGGAAAAGTTAAAGTCATCACGTTTATCACAGAGCTTGTTTGTTAGATTACCAATAACGTCCCTTTCAAGTAAGATATCCAAGTATGAAACAGATGTGTCAAACTCTGTGGTATCTTTTATCTCAAGCTCTCCATGATATATCGTATCGACGTAGGAATTGAAATTACCATTGTTAATTGACAATACGTCGTCGATATATCTAAAAGTCGAGTCGAAGGCCACAACAAGTGTTTTCTTCTTTTCACGCATAAGATTTTGCACAAATTCTGCTTCATATGAATGCAAAATCAGATATTGGCAATCAGAAACTCAGGCATCTTTTTTTGATGTCAACTTCAGAGTACTTGTGCGTGCAATCAGAATGCGTTTTAACAAAATAATTTTGCAGATGAATAATGACCAGGTTAGTAAATTTACGAGTTCCATTTTTATTGAAAAAGAAGCTGCAAGGTAATGCATATCTTCTAAAATACATGTATACCTTCCAGTCGAATTTATCTGGCATTGTTTTAATCATTTAATCATTTTCACTACCATATTGTTTTTTTCTTATTTTGAGCTTTTATTTTCTTTATTATAGGCTATCTTATTTTCCTCAAGGGGTAGTCGTTTCCTTAAATTGGCATCCGCAATATCTTTCTTTCATTGTAGAATGTCCAAATCTTTTTTTTCCATTTCCTCCTTTGCTTGTTCATAATCCTTTTGTACAGGATGGGGTATCCCATATGCGTAGCTCTTGGCTTGTCCTTGCAAGGTGTTTAGCAATACCCAGTACTCTGCAGGATTTCTCGAGTCCCCAGGAGTCCAATTCTGTTTTACTTTCAAAATATTAATGACCTTAGAGAATTTTCTTTCTAGATATTTATTGGTTGTTGGCCAGCATCTGATGTCATTGGACTTTTCATATATGTCATATCAACTATGGGAATTCCAAAATTGTCGCCCAGTCCTGGCCCCTTGGGAGACTGATTACCCAAATAAGGGGTGGTGCGTCGATCCAGATTGCCCAAAACGGTTAACTTACAAACAGATATCTGTATGAATATTTGGCGCATTGCCACAGTACAGGGTGTATCATCAGGCATCAAGGAAATCCCCTCTCGTTCCTGTCATTTAGCAGACCAGTTCCTCCATACTTTCATCTTTACTCTGAATATAATAACAAGCAATATCATAGTTGTTACATATTCTAGAGAAAATACTTTATTGTCTTGAGATTTCTACGCAACCTTTTTTGTTGTTTAGGTCCCAGTCGTGAAGACAATCAGGGAACACACTATCAAGGCAAGGAGTACCCAGATAAATAGGATTGTCATAAGGCTTGTGTTGCTTTGAACGGGAAGATTCTGAGAGTTTTGCCCGATCTCCCGAATTTTAGGACTGTCTGGCATTACTCAACTTGTAGTCTGCAGACTTGTTTTACACACTCTTTATCAACCTCTATTCCAGATGTAATAAAAAAAGTTGAACTGTCGGGGTACAGGCCTATCTTTCTATGCTTTACTCTCCTTAATATAATGGATGTCTACATTTGAATTTTGAACCTTGTGTTGTCTTGTTCTGTGTAACACGTAGAATTACTTCTAAGAATCCCACCGCTGCCAACAATAATATTGTGAGGTTTTCGAGAACCTGTCATGATATATGATTAACACAATATCTCCTTCTCGTCACAAAATGTACGCAAGCCAACACAAGAGTTTTTTTAGACGAGCGTTTGAACAGTAGCCAATAACAGTTCACATATTAAGTGTGAGTTTTCTCTCTCTCTTTCTCTCTCCTTGTACATCTTACGTCGTTAGACCTTCTTGTTTAAGTATTTGGCTTCACAGATAAGACAAATATCAGGGCATTGGGCTTCAAGTATCAGGGCTGATATATCAGCGTTAGGTGTCAAGATACGTAGTACTTTAAAAATAATGCATTAGGGTATCCCTTAAATACCATAATTAGGGGACTAATTAGGCTCCAAGGAAAGGGAACCTATCAACTCTTATGCAAGGACCTTTCAAACAACCAAATTCTATAATTGCGTCCTTCATTTTTTAACAGTTGATTAGAAAAGAGATACAGACTTTAAATACATGTATCTCCAAAATGAAAGTATATCTTCAATAACATAATAATTATTACACATTTTAAAAAACCATATCAATTGTAACTATATAGATCCAATGAACCTGCATGTAGCAAAACGTTATGGATTAAGGTTTGAGTTTTAATTTAAAATTATATATACACCAACTGATTGAGTTGAAGTAGTTACAATATTGGAATATATATTAATTTGCCTTTCCGTAGTGTTGACATCTGTACTCAGTGGTGCGTGATCTGGACTGTATGAGCGAAAGAAAAAGTTGTATACCTTCATTAGCATGAAGATCTTCATCGCTGTCCGACATAACAGTCATCATAATGTTAGATTTCTTGTTGTCAGGGGCAAGACATCTGCAGCTAAAGTAAAGACGATACGATTATAAAGGTACATTAAAAAACCACACATTATTAAGTCAATAGATGAACTGATGCCATGTGTCCCTAACCTGCTTTACATGCACATTTGATTTTGACAGTCTGTGACGTTACGTATGAATTTTTTTTAAAATACCATTTTGTAACATTCCATGTCTAAGAATATCCAATGGTTATATCCATTTTGAAAACAATATGGACAAATTTATCATTTGAACCACGTCGAATGTAATGTTGAAAATAATCTCGTTGAGCACATGAAGTTCCGAAAGTATTTCTACTTCATGCTTTTTTCACATCAACGCTGATGAATGAAATATGAAGATACAAAGAAAAATACATATCGGGAGTAGAACTGTTCCTTTTCATGATAGGACAAACAGATTAATCCGTCGACAATAAAGTGTGCAATAACGGCCTTACGATTAGTATGAAAAACGTCAGTCAGCATTCGACTTAATGATGGTGAAATATATGGAGATTACAAACAGCTTTCAAGCTCAAAAGTCCATTAAAAATACAAAATAGGAACAGAGCAAACACGGACTTCCAAAACATCAGAGGTCGGATCAGGTACCATGGAGGAGTGATGATCCCCTGCCGACCGGTCACATCCGCCGTGTCCTCTTGTCATGATCGGAAAATAACGGAAAAATCCGTCGTCAATTCAGTGTATAAATAATAGAATAATAATTAGTATGAAAAACGTCAGTCGGCATTTGACTCAATGATAAATCGTATTTGCTGACAAGGTCATTGTATCGACCATAAAACTTACGAAATGATGACTTTAAATGAGACTGCTGATGTTCTTGTTTCATCAACTTATGTCTCAATAATTTACGTCGTTTTAGAAATTGTTCATACGTAGAGCATGCTCTTGCGTATCGAATCAACTGAGATACATAAACTCCGTATGCAGGTGATGAAGGTTTATTGCTGCATAAGTAAGGGAATTTGATTATAGAAAAGTTAAAGTCATCACGTTTATCACAGAGCTCGATTGTTTGATTACCATTAACGTCCCTTTCAAGTAAAATATCCAAGTATGAAACAGATGTGTCAGACTATGTGGTATCTTTTATTTCAAACTCACCAGGATTTATCGTATCGACATAAGAATGGAAATTACAATTGTTAATTGACAATATTCGTCGATATTTCTACGGTAAAGTTGAAGTTGAAGGCAGCAGCAAGTGTTTTTTTTTTCTTTTCACGCATAAGATCTTGCACAAACTCTCTTCATATGAATACAAAAAAAGGTCTGCTAATAACGGGGAGCGATTGGTTTCCATGGAAATTCCAAGATTGTTGGAAGACCTGGTCTCCAAAAAAAACCTAGATATTGTCAATTAGAAACTCAAGCATCTTTTTGATATCGACTTCAGAGTACTTGTGTGTACAATCAGAATGTTTTTAACAAAACAATTTTGCAAATGACCAACGACAAGGTAAATAGGTTTAAAATTACCTCAATAAAAAAGTTGTGCGATTTTTATTGCTCCAAATGTCCTACTTATCATAAACTCCACCAGTTCCCAGATTCACATTTATTTTCTTCTTGAGTGAAAAAGATCTGGTTCTATTATTTTACAATATCTTGCAACGTGTTATGTATTATGATGGTCTTGTTATGATTCATAATAAAAGGATAATGATACGGATTCCTAGAAAAGTAAAAAGTTGGTTTAGAATTCCCTAACTTTGTCGTATGATTTTGCTTGTGATATATTATAGGTGATAAAATTTTATCTGAAGTCTACGCTTTCCAATCTATAATTTATCATTGATCATGAAATTCAAAACATTTTGTTTATTTTATTTATTTATTGGAATACATAATGAGTCTGTTTTTTTAACTAGGCAACACATCTCAAATCACTCTACTTAATTAAGATGAGTGCATGAAAAAGCGAAAAAAAAACGAACAGCATTACTCGGAAATCTTTAAACAATACAGATTTGTAAAAGAGAATAAAATACATGCAGACCCCGGAAATTCCAGTGGTGGAATAACAGGAGTAAAATTCTTGTAACTTAAACATTGCTTAATACAGAGTTAAATATAAACAATTTTTTTCCAAAAGCAAAAAATGAATTTTACCGATGGGTAAAGTTTGCCAATTTAAAGTAACTGAGCTGTTGTAGTCTATTCCCATCAGATGACTTAGTCAAGCAGAAAGCCGAGGTAAAAATACCTATATGAAAAAAGAACATGTCTACTGTGAATTACATCCACATTTATTTACTTTATTTTATGTCTCAGACAATTAACATTCCTTGGTACAATTTTGTGAGAAATTTAAATGTCAAGGACAAAATAGAGGAAATACTTCATCTGCTCAACTATTTTGGACTTGCAGAAAATATAACGAACAGTATTTAAGCTTGAAAGTCCGTTAAACAATGCAAATTTTGTATTCTACATACACATGTTACGAGGCGTTAAAACAAAAATGTATTGCTTCAAGTGTGTGTTAGAAATAAAGTTATTTTTCCCGAGTTTTCCAAAAATTTAAAGAACTGATCATCCTAATTTATAGAAATTTACACTAGGTGTGTTTTGTAGTAGTTCTTTTACAAATAATTAAATAATAATTCAAAAATATTACACTATATTTTGCATATGGGGTTTCCATCTCATATAAATCTTAAATACTCAAGAGCATACTTTAAGTACGGTCATTTCTTAAACCGAGGTAAGCCACTGACCGATAAGATGAATTTCAACAACCTCGTCATTAATCAGCAATACCGTGTATAGTCAATATTGTCAATCACTGGGTGGTATTTCAGCTAACGTTTTTCAACATTATTGACAGGCCTATGTTTTATGCTAAATTTTGCTATGGGATATTCCGTTCATCAAGTCTATGTTCGTTAAAATTAATTCAAATAATTATGATATTGTGTATATAATTCTCTCTTGCATAGACAACATCAAGATGTTTTATTAAAATATGATTTAAAGCAATTTGAGGTACTACTTTGATGTCAAATTTTTCTTTTGCAAAATTATCATTAATTATTTTAAGGACCGAGAGAGAAAAAAACATTTATAAGGTTATGTTGTTCAAATCTGTAATAGAATGGTTATTTGCAAGCTCTTGATCTTGCAAATTGCATTATTGTCATCCTGTAAAATATTGTTTTCCTAAAAAATACTTAATATATGATTGTGCAGGTTTCTTTCTTTTAAAAGATTAATACTTTACTTTTAAACGTCTAATTGATCATAAAGGTTTAAGATAAATACAAATTTATCATAATGACACATTTTAATAGCAAAAAAAAAAAAAATTCTCAAAAATGCAACTCATATTTCTTTAATATTCAAATTGTCACTATGTATAATGAGCTGTTTTGATTTTCTTTTTAAATTTCTATTCAGAATTAGGTGTTGGTCTTCAATAATCCAAGTAAATGAAGTTTTTGGCACATAAATTTGGGACAAGCGTTTCTTATTTCAATGCATACAGAGTTAGTGTACCTTACACGGGGTAGATCTGAAACACTAACATTGCAGTGTGTACTGCAATACACCTATTTAATTTGTATAAAGATGTCCCCAGTATGCAAACTCACGACTAACGACCAATATAACGAGTCCAACATAACCTGAATCAATTTAAATTCAAAAGGAAGACATGTTTCAACATAATTTGTTTGATATATCCGTTTACAGTTTTTAAAAATTTACTTTTGTAATTTTTGGACAACCGGTTACAAGTTTGTCAATTGGAATTTTTTTGCAGTTCTATTAATTTGTTAAAAAGAAAACAAATCATAAAATGAGGGTGCAAACATGAAAAAGTGAAAATAAAACGGTGTGGTAAATATTAACAATCCGTATTTTGTCTGTTAGACGCGCCTCAAAAAGTCCCACCTTCGTCAGTTCTGGTTACGCTCTGATTGGTGCGTCAACCATTCGGAATTTTTACCTGTTTAAAAAAATACAGGTGTATAGAGATCACACAGACAGAAGCTGATCAGTGATTTCGTTCTAAGGAGTATCAGGGATGGCCGTTGAAGGTACAGAGTTAGAATGGGGGGATATTCTAGTCATTATCGGCTATTTCGTGGCTGTCATAGCCGTAGGAATATTAGTAAGTATATGTCAATTTTACTTTTTATGTCTTATGTTTTATTACTGCAGTCTACTACAAGATTAATTTGTTTAAATTAGTAATAATTATCAATGAGTAAATAGTATAGATAGCATGTTTTGCGTTTTAAGTTAGGATTTGATAACAATGTTGCACAATAAATCTATTCAACTTCGCAATAAAGACCAGTAAGTAGACTGCACAAAGTATGCCTGAGAAATATTTATGGCTTTAAATAAGTGTTCAAAACACTCCCCCTTCACAGATAAAAAAAATTTTTATATATTTTACAAACTGTTCAACATTTAACATACCTGGTTCAAGAATAAATTAGAAACCTAAGGTAGAAGGGAAGGGAAGGCTAAAATTGTAACCCATTTGAATACTTATTTTACACGAACAGGTTAGGCGATGAAGCTTTAAGGGTATAGTGCAACCTTGCTGAAAAGATACCTGTATAGAGAGAAATAAAAACCATTGAAGCTAGCAATTTAAACATCGTTTGAATTTTGGATGACATTTTGAACTCTAATTGTACGTTCACAAAATACAGGGACAAAGCAATAGATTCCCGAACTCAAACACTGCAATACAAGTGAAGGAAACGTGATACCCACCAAGCACTGGGTACCGTAAAATAACAATAATAGATACCCGATTGTGCGCCTTTAACCGACATAAAATACAGTGTATTGTAGTTTATACTTTTTTCCCAAAGCCAAACCAAACAATGAGTAACTGCTGTGATGTAATAAAGCTGCGTACACTTATTATCGAGCATACGCATATTTGTAATCTTGATAAATAACAAGAACTGTTGTCAAGGTCATTTATAAAACTGGTTAATAATTAAACATGCATTTACCAGCAGTTCGCTGAATACAGAAAGTTGTAAAAATTTAAACAGCTTGGTAGTCTAACAACAAAGCTTTCTGATAAACATGATGACTTTAAATTTCCACTCGTCAACTTTCCCTTACTTAAGGAGCAATACCCGTATACTAGTACCTTTATCACCTGCATGCAAGGTTTATATCTCTCTGTTGATTCAATACAAAAGAGGATGCTGTATGTATATGTATCAACAATATCTAAAACGAAGTGAGTTATTGACAAACAAGTTAATGAAACACGAATATCAACAGCCTCGTTAAAAGTCATCATTTCATAAATCTCATATGTGGATACTCAAAAAATTCCAAAGAACTTTTGGTCAATTTGAAATCTCAATATTTTACCAAAATCAACAGCTTAAAAACTTCCGACTTTTCAACTTTATACACAACCATTCCCCATGATAAATTAAAGTCCAGTCTTTTTGATATCATTGACAGCTGCTTTTTCAATAAAAATGGAACTCGTAAATTTACTTACCTGGTCATTGGTCATTTGCAAAATTATTTTGTTAAAACACATTCTCATTGCACACACAAGTACTCTGAAGTTGACATCAAAGAGAAGCTTGAGTTTCTGATTGACAATATCTATGTAGTTTTTGGAGACCAGGTATTCCAATAATCTGTTGGAATTCCCATGGGTGCCAATTGCGCTCCGTTATTAGCAGACCTACTTTTATATTCATATGAAGCAGAATTTGTGCAAAATCTTATGCGTAAAAAGAAGGAAACACTTGCTGTGGCCTTCAATTCGACATTTAGATACATCGACAACGTATTATGAATTAACAATGGTAATTTCCATACCTACGTCGAAAAGATATATCAGGGGCGTAGCTACAGGGGGGCCAGAAAGCCTTACTTATACTTTAGGAAATTTTAATAGATAGCTTGGTTGCCCCCCCCCCACTTGTAGTGATGTATCGAAAATGTAGTATTAGAATTGGTGCTGAAAGTAGTTGACACTGAGAAAAAGTTTACCTCCCCCCCCCCCCCCCCACGAAAAAGACGTATATGGAAATCTAACAACCAAGCTATATGATAAACGTGATGACTTTAACTTTTTTATCGTCAACTTCCCTTACTAATGCAGTAAGTAAGAATATACCTTCGTCACCTGCATACGGAGTATCTATATCTTAGTTGATTCAATACGCAAGAGCATGCTCTACGTATGAGCAATTTCTTAAACGGGGTAAATTATTGACAAGCATGTTGATGAAACAAGAATATCAACGGTCTCGTTTAAAGTCATCATTTCGTAAGTTCTATGGTCGATACAATGACCTTGTCAGCAAATACAATTTATCATTGAGTCAAATGCTGACTGATTTTTCATACTAATTGTTAGTCCATTATTTATACACTGAATTGAAGACAGATTTTTCCGTTATTTCCCGATCATGACAAAGAGCACGCGGCGGATGAGACCGGTCAGCAGGAGATGCTCACTCCTCCATGGCACATCATCCCACCTTTGATGTTTCGGAGGTCCGTGTTTGCTCTGCTCCTATTTTGTATTGTTTTATGGACTTTGAGATTGAATACTGTTCATTTTATCCATATCTTTATATTCTACGGTCAATACAATGATCTTTGTCAGCAAATATAATTTATCATTAAGTCAAATGCTGACTGACGTTTTTCATATTAATTGTCCAGGGATTTTTCCGTTATTTTCCAATTATTACAAGGAACATATCGTGGATGTAGCGGTCGTAAGGGGATATTCACTCCTCCGTAGTATCTGAACCCTCCTCTGATGTTTTAGAGGTGTATATCATGATCATATCCCTAAGATAGAACTGTGTGTTATGTTGTAACATTGGGAAGGACAGATAAGGTTTGCAAAGTTAAGTGTGTGCACTTAGATAAACTTTGTCAGAAATAACTATTAGTTAACTTGATTGCAAACACACACACAAATATCCTAAAAATGGACTAATCATCGTCTGAAGATCAAAATGTTCTGATACTGTAAAAAAATAAGACGAAGATATCGAATCGTATTGTAATCAATTTCAATATTCTTAAACAATGCAAATATTTGTATATTAATTGGGAGACGTTAACATCATGTGCAGGTGATTGTGGAATTGATTACAACACTAATAAGGAAGGTTGACGATGGAAGGCCGAAGTCATCTATAGCTTGTCACACATTTTAGTTCTTAGTATATTCCTCAACGTCTATAGACGGGAAAGCATCCAAATATGAAATGAAGGATATGGAGATAACGATTACGAACAGTATTCAATATCAAAGTAACTGCAAATTAATAATCAAAGAAAGGCATAGATTCTTAACAATCATCAAATGGGCTTATTTACAATCTACGGATCTCTGAATGATTAACAGGTTCACTGTTTAGAAGGGGTCTTTTAACCTAAGATTTGCAATTGCCACATTTATTTTTATTTAGATTAAAATATTTTAGATATAAATCGGATTTTATATCACTGAGAGTATACAGAGTTGTACAAGTACAAGACAAGATCGATCAAGAAAGATAAAAGCTTATCACACGTCGTAAACTAATCATTTGTATTTACAATGCTTGCCCTCCAAGTACTAAGCCAATATAGACCTGTACTTACTAACTGTGACTATTTGTAATTACAGTCGTCATGCAGAAACAGAGGCAGTGTGGGGGGTTACTTTCTGGCGGGAAGAAACATGCACTGGATACCGGTAAAACACGGCTCACACTATCTTACCTACCAAACAACAATTACTAGCAAGCATATAATTCTTTGTCAAAACCTTGAAATATATATAAAATAAGTGTAAAGGTCTATTAATATATCAATATCTACATTTCGTTATCAAAGCTTTATCTTATTATTTATTTTCTTATCATTTTATTACTGCTAGTATATCTAATTAATTAAATGTAAATAGTAAAAATAGAACAAATGCTCATGATACATTCTTGTTGCACATTATATTTACGTATAACAAACCTGTTATATTTTACTGTAGGTTGGTCTATCTCTATTTGCCAGTAATATAGGAAGTGGACACTTTGTTGGTTTGGCGGGATCTGGAGCGTCTAATGGGATAGGCGTGGCAGTCTTTGAATTAAATGTAAATTTAGAAAGCTATATAATGTATTTATTACACCCCAAATTTATTAATTTTATTAACATCTAAACTTACTATGGTACTTAATAAATCTATGATTAACTCTTTAATACCTTCCATGTAGAATTTGAAAAAAAAATACATTGTTGATAAAACTTCTCATTATTATTATTATAGGCTATCTTCATCTTAATTAAACTTCTGGTTATTATCCTAGGCTATCTTCATCTTGATGATACTTGGGTGGCTGTTTGTTCCTGTGTATGTGGCGGCTGGGGTAAGTCTCATGGCAATAAATTGAAAAGTTATGTTTCACCTTAGTTGTAACATTACAAAAACATGGTTCAGTGCTGCGTAGATTTTCATGAAGTTATTCAATCTTCACTTTGGTTTTTGTCTTGAGAAAAAGCTCATCATATTAGCTTCCACATTAAATTTGAATCAAATGATAAGAAAAAGTAATATTTTAACAAAGTTTAAGCATTTAACTGTAATATTGGTTTCCTTGAAAACCTCGCATGTTCAATAATGGGAACTTTCATTCAAATAGCGAATTATTAGTCAACTTCTCACTTTATTCCAATCGGTTGATTGCTTTTCAAGAAAGTACTCACTCATTTCTCAGTGAACTACTGTTTTATCCTTTATATGTTATGATTAATTAACTGCTAGTTCGTTCAGAATACATTTCCATTACCATGATATCTTGGAATTTTTTTTTAATTGCATTTGTCCTAAAATTATTTTGCTCACTTGGCTGGATTGTTTCAAATATTTTAAAGGCAGAATAATTTCTAAAAGTTCTACATCTTGTGTTAGTTCTGGACTACTGAACTGCATGTTATAACAAACCTTTGATTTACCTGTCCAGGTGTTTACAATGCCTGAGTACCTGAAGAAGAGGTTTGGGGGCCACAGAATCCGAGTCTACCTGTCAGTATTGGCACTGCTTCTATACGTATTCACCAAGATTTCTGTAAGTATTCATATATCGTTAAAAGATTTTTTAAATATAAAATCTTCATAATTACATGTAGCACTGTTTATTGTACTTTCAGGGTAGATATTATAGATATGTACATTATTGTGCATGTACTTTATTACACAATTGTACGCAAAAATCCATTGTGCATAAATGCTCTAAATAATTTTGTAAAAAATATTTTTCTTTGCGTTGAAAAAATACAGTTGATGACGTACATGTTGAGTTTGATGAGTTGACTGTTAATTTTTACAGGCTGATTTATTTTCTGGGGCCCTTTTCATCTTACGAACATTTAAAGGCTTTGATCTCTATCTCGCCATCATTATTCTACTAATCATTGCAGCCCTGTTTACAATCACAGGTAAGTGAATTTAATCTGACATTTATACAAAACTCACGAAGAACGTACATTATTTAAGTTTTAACTATTTTGACTGAATATCATGTTTTTAGGTGGACTTACTGCTGTAATATGGACAGATTCCATTCAAGTTTTTATCATGACTATTGGGGCGTTCATCCTCATGATTATGAGTAAGTATGACTATGTCACACAATATCTAGTCCTCTGAAGAAACTTTAAATCATGCAACAGACAAAAATATCAAAACTATAAAAGAGTAGTGGATTTTATTTCTTCTGTCGAAAATACTTGTCCACACTTTCAGTTTGGACACACAAAATATGAAATATACCTGAACAAAATTATTATTAAGAGACTCTCTACATTTAAAATTTTTGAACAGGTTTTGTTAGGGTGGGTGGATATGAGGAGGTTGTGAGGAGATACTTTGAAGCTTACCCCAACACGACACTTCAGAATTACGGTAACACCAGCGACCCGTACTGGAAATGTGGGATTCCCCCGGAAAACTCCATGAACCTGGTCAGGAGCTATGACGATGATTCTCTCCCCTGGCCGGGCATTATGTTCGGTCTGACCATCTCCTCCGTCTGGTACTGGTGCTCTGATCAGGTAAGGAATTCAGGAGGTACAGGAAGATCAGTTTAAACTGAAATATGTTGACGACATCCAACGGGATTATTACATTTACAAGAAGAAATAATAAGCAGTGATAAATAAATGTCATGAATATATTAAAAAACAATTTATTATTTCTTGTGCTAAGAATTATACACATTCAAATAAATAATCTTTTGATTATGAATGATTCTTGTCTATTAAGGTTATAGTCCAGAGAGCACTTGCTGCCAAAAATATCGCCTACGCTAAAGCTGGCACAATTCTGGCCGGTTACCTGAAATTCACGCCTCTTTTCCTCATCGTTTTCCCGGGAATGATTTCCAGAATCATCTTCCCAGGTAACATTTCATATTCAAATATTTAAAAATGCGTGCATTACCGTTAATTTTGATATTACCTCCTATGGTGTACAATTATTTATTTCAATTATAACACCATCTATATATACAATTTTTAAAACTAATCACTAATCTTAAACTATATTATAAGAGAATAACTTCGTTTTCCATCCAGATACTGTCGGTTGTGCAGTTCCGGAAGTTTGTGAGAAGGTTTGCGGAAGTCGTTCCGGATGTACGAACATCGCCTACCCTGACCTCGTTATTGAGGTCATGCCGGCTGGACTGAGGGGTCTGATGCTGTCGGTGATGATGTCCGCTCTTATATCGTCCCTTACCTCTATATTCAACAGTACCAGCACCATATTCACCATAGATATTTACAAACGTATCCGTACCCACGCCAATGATGTAGAGCTAATGATTGTCGGAAGGTACATTGACATTGTCCCTTCATCTGAAGTCAATGAGATGTATTTTTAGCAAAGAACGTATCTTTTTTTCTTTATATTCCCATTAATTAACGGTATTTAAAGGTCCCCCACGCCCACTGTAGTGGTGTAAAATAGTATGCCATTGATCAATCATTTTATACAGTAATGTATCTTGAAAAATCACTTTTGTCGTTGTTGGCTCTTAAAAGACATCAGTATTTGGAGCTCATCATTTTTTTAATGATATGAAAAAAAAAAAATTAAAAGATCAATTATGACAGCAATAGACATACCTGCGTAAGTCCTTGTCCTTTTCTCCAGATTGTGCGTGATAGTATTGGTGGGTATCTCCATTGCCTGGATCCCTATCGTCCAGAACGTGTCAGAGCTCTTCCATTACATCCAGGCCATCACCTCCTTCCTGGCTCCCCCGGTCTGCGCCGTGTACGTCTTGGCCGTCTTTTGGAAGAGAACTAATGAACCGGTAAGGGATGAGACAGTATTGAAATGACTCAGTTAGTAAAGTATTTCGACAAATGAACCAGTAAGGGATGAGACAGTATTGAAATGACTCAATTAGTAAAGTATTTTGACAAATGAACCAGTAAGTGATGAGACAATAATGTAAGGACCGAATTAGTAAGGTATACAGACAAATAAACTGGCAAGACATGAGACAGTGTTGTTATGACTGAATTAATAAGGTATATTGACAAGTGAACCCGTAAGACAGGAGACAGTGTTGTAATGACTGAATTTGTAAGGTATATAGACAAATAAACCCGTAAGACATGAGACAGTGTTGTAATGACTGAATTTGTAAGGTATGTAAGTATATAGACAAATAAACCGGTGAGACATGAGACAGTGTTGTAATGAATGAATTTGTAAGGCATATAGACAAATAAACCGGTAAGAATGAATTAGTAAGGTATATTGACAAGTGAACCGGTAAGACATGAGGCAGGGTTGTAATGACTGAATTTGTAAGGTATATAGACAAGTGAACCGATAGTATATGAATAATTGATCAGGTAAATGATCAAATTATCAGAAAAATATCAAATTCAAAGTCGTTAAGTTGCAAATTTTGGTGTAAAAGGTGAAGATAAGGATCTGTGGGTTGTTATAATTACTTTGTTAGCAAATACATTAAAATAAATGTAGCTTAAAAGAGTACACAAAAGTGGATCAAAGTATACACATACAGTAACTGAGTATGACATTCAATCAACTGATCGGTGATGTTGCTGATGGTCTTTATCATTTTGTATTCCTTTATATTCAAATGAGAGATGATATACAGGTGATAGAGTATATTACTATTCAGAGAAATGGACGATTGAAAAGTTGAAGTCATCACGTTTCTCAAAGTTTTATTGTTAGGTTACCATTAAGGTCCCTTTATAGTAAAATGTTCAAATATGAAACAATACAAAAATGGAAGTAATTATTGTAAATAGATAAATTATATGTGTACGTCGTCGATATATCTAACTGTCGAGTTGAAGGTCACAGCAGGTTTTTTCCTCATGTAAAAGTTTTGAATAAATGTTCTGCTTCATGTGAATATATACTCTTCAAAAAAAGAGACGCATAGTAGAATTTTAGTGACACATTGAACATAAAGATTATTTAGTAAAATGATGCATTAATAAAACAGAAATGTGGTAAGCTATATACAAATGCCATAATTAACAATTTTAAAATTATAGTCAATTTAAGAATTAAAGATTATATTAAACATCTAATGGAAGCAAATGTGTGTAATAAAAACTATATAGAAAGAACTTTGGTCAGCTGTTGCAAAAATGTCTGGAAAATCATGTCAATCCATTTTGTCCGTGTGTTAAATCTACAATTTTGATGACAAACAGGTGAAATAAATGTGTCTGTGTATTGTGAGATTGCAATACGGCTCTAGGATGCTGCAAACTTGAATGGGTATGTGTAGGTAGAACATGGTTAGAGTACCTTTTCCCATCAAAGTTCATTGAATTCGAACCAAATCAATCAATACAAAACTACCACTACCAACTTTTTTAACGTCCTGGAGGCAGTTATCTGTTTAACATTCATTACAAAGCATTACGCTCTTAAACTTATAAACAAATAAATATTCAAAGGTTCAGCAGTGATGCTGTGGTCATATTCTATTGATCTGAGATCTTTGAAGTCGATATTTGGGGTGTTGTGGGGTCGGAACAATGGCATGAATAATCCTCTTGCAATAATTCCTTGTCAACTGAAAACGGTCTTGTTAGATGATCTGTGCAGTTCAGGGATAGCTAATGCTTAAAATGACGTCCTTGCATTACATTCATGCAATTTACGTAATCCTCGGAAGTGATGCTGTGCTGCTGATGTCACACGTAGTCTACCATATTTTTTGCAAACATTTGGTGTTCGATGTTAATTGTTTATGTTTTATAGGTTAGATATGGTCTGTGTGTAACATTAGAACCTCTTGCAATTGTAGATTGCGGTTATTTGTTCAACATTCAGATGCAGCATTTTTTGGAAGTGTAATTTTTCAGATATAACCAGATTCAAAATATCGAGAACCCCCGCTTTTGATAGCCCCTTTGTAACTGAAGGAATTGCATCGGAATTCAACAAATGAAAATTGAGATAAAAATTTAGGGGAAATTTTGCAAAATCAGGACTTTTTGTCTGTCAGACTTGTAGAATAGCTGTAAACTTAACAATTGCAATAAAAAATCATACTTTTTACCCGAATACATCGTATCATACAAAAATAAAAGGTATGACAAAACTATCATACATTTTTCAGGGCATTGTTCATACTATGCGTTTCTTTTTTTGAAGAGTATAGATTTAGGTCGCACTAAAAATTGGACGCAATTGGCACCCATGGAAATTCCAAAGATTTTTGATGGACCTAGTCTCCAAAAACTACATACATATTGTCATTCAGAAACTCAAGCATCATCTTTTTAGTATGAACTTCAAAGTACTTATTTGTACAATCAGAATGTTTTTAACTGAATAATTCTGCAAATGACCAATGACAAGGTATTATGTAATTAGGCCATTATTTACAAACTGGATTGTACCCGTATTTTTCCGTTTGCCAGATGATGGCAAGTTACGCAGGATGAGTATAACCAATAGACAAAGGATGCTCACTTCTCTAAGGCACCTAATCCCGTCTCTGATGTTTTAGATGCCTGTATTGTTTCGATGGACTTTTGAGCTTAATTACTGTTTGTTATCTTCAACTTCATTCTCTTTTCATTGACAATATTTATGATACTTCTGGTGATCAGGCTGCTTGTAGGGTTTAAAATTTTTATCATTTTATATTCTTCCAGGGGTGTTTAACGGTCTGATGGTCGGTATGGTGGTAGGATAGATAATGTTTATCATTTTATATTCTTCCAGGGGTGTTTAACGGTCTGATGGTCGGTTTGGTGGTGGGATTGATAATGTTTATCATTTTATATTCTTCCAGGGGTGTTTAACGGCCTGATGATTGGTCTGGTGGTAGGATTGATAATGTTTATCATTTTATATTCTTATTCTTCTAGGGAGCGTTTTACGGTCTGATGATTGGTCTGGTGGTGGGACTGACCAGGTTTATCTGGGAGTATGTGTACTCTGTCCCAGCCTGTGGGGAGTCGGGAGACGAGCGCCCAGATATCATCAGTAAAGTTCATTACTTACATTTTGGAATCATTTTGTTCGGAATCGTCTTCATCTGCACAATCGTCATCAGCCTCCTCACACCGCCTATACCAGAGAAACACGTGAGTATCCGTCATATCTGAAAATAAGTAGTGAAAACACATGTATTTCTGTTTAAATTATATTTACATTGTGGCAAAAACAGCAAATACAGTTAAACCAATTGTTTTTTAAGAACGTGCTGAAAGAGCTTTTACATAATAAAATTCATTAAGGAATTGATAAGCGGCGAATCAACAAAAAATACTGGTTAGTACATGTAATCCAATATCTATTGACTATATATTTAGCTCCACCGGCTGACTTTCTGGAGTCGGTTTGATACGGCGGAGAGGGAAGACATTGACGCGGAGAGAGACAGGAAAGAACTGGAAAAGAAACACAAAGTGGCCTTCAAGAGTTTTGGTAAGTGTTCTATACAAATACTTACAGAAGTGAATGATCAAGTATAAAGTGTGATGAAAAAATACTTTTCATAATAACAACTAAGACAAAATGACCCAGGGGTATCAATATAGAGAAAAATATTCATCAGTAATCGTCCAGTAAAAACCGTGCTCCCTTGTACATCGTCCAGCACAAGTAGACACCTACATGTATATTGCTTACCGCAAACATTGGTGGAAGTTGATAATTGCTTACTGCAGTTCCATTTGCATGGTTATCCGGAAATCTGACTCAACAGCAAGTTTTCAGCTGAATATCATTCTGTAAAAAAAGAAGACATGATTAGAAATCAAAAACTTCATTAGCTGACGGATGAAAACGGATCTTTTTGAGTTTTATTATGTCGCTAAAGATATCTTGAGAATTTATTTCTTTACTTCAGCTCACGTGGAGGAAGGCCAGCCATTCTATAAGACGGCTCTGCAATGGATCTGTGGAGTCGAGAAAATGGAACAAGCAATGGAGATGACAGAGGAACAGAAAAAGATTCAAGAGAAAAAACAGAACTCGATCCACGAGACGAAGACTCAGAAATGGCTGACCAGTGTCAATGCCATTATCTTAATGACATTAGCTATTTTCCTCTGGGGTTTCTACGCCTAATGTCCTGGTGTAATGATAAAATCCCCAGTGTCTGTAAAAACAAAATGACAAAACATATTTGTATGATGGTGCTTTTATATAGAAAGTCCCCTTATAGGTGGAAAACATCTTTCATTAATCAAGAGGTAGATTTAATTATTATTTTTTACAAGTATTAAAATCATTTTAAATAAACATAGATTAAATAGTGGTCTCAATGTTATGAAGTGTTACATACAGGGAAGTAGAATCATATTGTGTCTCAGCTTAAATCAGTGCTATACATGTATGCAAAATATCCATTTTATACAGTGTGTGTATTTTTATTTAATTTATACTTTTGTATCAAAAAAAGATATTTGTAAATATGTTAGATGATGAAATTATATTTATCTCCACTGCTATTGAAGTTTACCATGTTCATTGTTTATTTTATACATGTATGTATGAAAATATAAAGAAAAGTGTCGTTCATATTATCATGTCCATTCATTTTTTTTTATTTTTATAAATAAAATACTACTTATCTTTCTTTGACAAATATATATTTACATATTATGTATGTATGTATCTTTGAATATACTATACATTTCATAAAATATTTTATATAATTAAAAAGAAAGACTTTTCATTTTTTAGACATAATATTTTTACCACTTAGAGTAAGACATAAAAACTTGAAACTCCCCTCATAGTATTTTCAATAAATGTGTCGTTTACTAATTATTGAATTAAAAATTCATATAATGATTGTCGTGCAATCATTATATGCATAATTAGCAAACGACACATGTATAATATCCATACAACATATACGTTTGTGGAGGGGGTTAATGAAACGGTGACGATACCAATCAGTGATATATGAAAAATAATGCTAATATGTAAACAGGGTATAAACAAGGACCAATGGAAACTACAGAATTGGAATCAGATGTCAAGGAGGAGTTAATATCCCCTGTCAACCGATCATACCAGCTGCTGTGAGTCGTTTTGATCAGATATATAGACGAAATACTAGTATTCCACAGTCAGACCTAATAAATGGTTTAAAATATATCCGTCAACGTACCACCCAGACTTGCCTTTTATTGGGTGTAAAAATCATTATAACGACTGCAGAATTTCGGAATTACTTAAAAAGAGGTAGTTCAAATCTCTGTAACATTAATTTGTTTGTCAGTAACCTTCTTGGGTTTAAAAGTTGATCGTATTCAGAGCATGCTTTTCAGTACGGAATATGTTGAGAGATATAAACAGCATTTGTGGGAATATTACCTCAAAAATAAAGAAAGTTTACTCTGAAAAGCTGAAATATCGTTTTGCAAACAATTTACACATGTAGTTGTTACATGTAAAGTTGGTCCTTGTCGTCTATATAGTTATTAATACAATATCAAATTATGACAGAGTTATGGAGGATTGATTTTGTCTTTAATTTTGAGTTCTTTTGGATATATCAAGTCGATAGATGAATAGAAGTTACTATTGTGATCAAACGTCATTCGTCGAACATATATGCGTAACGTAAACTGTGATTCGTTAATTTGCCAGTAATTCAGATTCTAAACAGCAGAAAATCAAATGACTGATATTTGTTTGTTTGTTTCTTCTTCTTCTTCCCTTTATGGAGTGTACTCAGATTGAATGTGAATACTCTAGTAATTCTGTGGTGAACAGTTAAAAACCTCGTATTAAAAGAGGTAAAAAGTAAAAAGTTTCGTTTAGTGGTGTAGGATCTCAGACAGGCTGATGGTCTGTATAGCGTGTCTGAAGGTGTCCACTGAGGGTGAATTTCTGATTGTGACTGGTATGTTGTTCCATGCTATGATAGTTGCTGGTATGAACGAGTATTTGTAGACATCAACCCTGGTGCTGATTTGGCGGATTTTCTTTGCCATAGAACCACGAGTTCTGCTGTTGGTGGTAAGTAGCACATGATGTACCAGCTTCCACAATGTGATGGTAAATTTTGTAGAACGTGATCACACGGTCATTGGCCCTCCGATGTTCCCAGCCGAGTTGATGTAGCGTGGTGGTCACACTTACTGGATCCCTTGACGAGCAAAACTTGCTGCCTGGCGCTGAGCATTTTCTAGGTGTTGAATTAAATGGTGTTGGTGAGGATCCCAAACCACTGATGCGTACTCCAATACTGAACTTACTTGTGTAGTGTATATCCTGCTTCTGATAGCCTGTGGGCAACTTTTGAGGTTTCATTCTTTGAAAACCAATTGTTCTTGTGGCCTTGGCAGATGGTGAGGTAATATGCTCACGTCATGACAGATCTAGAATTAATGTGATTCCAAGGTATTTACCACTTGGGACATCTTTCAGGGTATGGTTGTTCAGATGGTATGATTCTTTAATTTGATGGAGTTTCTTAGATGGGTGGTAGTGCACTTCTGAGGATGAAAAACCATCTGCCAGTCCTTTTTTCATTTCTCAAGTGCACATAAGTTCCTGTTGAATTTGGACTGTGTCATTGATTTATTGAATTGTCCTGTAGATGAGGCAGTCGTTTGCTAATAATGTGACATTTGATGTTATCACCTCCGGGAGGTCATTGATGTAGGCAAGAAATAATAGGGGACCCATTACTGTGCCTTCAGGTATTCCAGAGTTCACGTCTGCTATGTTGGAGGGTATAACCTCAACCAAAACTCGCTGTTTTCTTTCTGATAAGAAACTTTTCTTTATTCATTAGGTGTCATAACAGTATTTCACTTGGGTTCACGTCAAATCATGGCTGACGCAAAATAATCCCGGACTTATCCCTTCCGATTCGGGCATTTTGATACGAGACTGGAGCTGAATTTTTTTATGAGATGAAAAACATGTAAACTTCCTGCATTGACCAGATTTATTAAATTTAGGGCGTGCTGATTTTTCTATATGCTGTCGAGAGTGGGGAGTGTTTAGGCCCTGGACTTCGACCGAAACAAACTTGCGTGTCTTGCTGGATGGCTATGTATTTTTGGTACTAAAATCTTTATAAAGAGTGGTTTCACAAGATCTGAAAAGGAAACTTAGAAGTTTGTTTTGAATTAGTTACATCTACTCAAAAGAATATATAGCAGAAATTAATACTGTTGTGACACCTGCAAAGAGTGCAGCCACGAATCCCATAATAATGCAATTTGTGGAGGAGACGTTTGTGTGGAACTTCATCGAATGTCTTGGCAAAATCCAGTAAGATGACATCAATCTGGTTGCCATGCGATAGGCTACTAACCAGATCTTGTACTGTGGCTATAAGTTGAGTCTCACATGATCGCTTACTAAGAAATCCGTACTGTGCTGGTGTTAGGATAGAGTTCCTTTCAAAGTGGTCCATAATGTTGGATTGAAGAATGTGTTCCAAGATCTTGGAGCACATTGTCGTTAGTGATACGAGACGGTAATTAAAAGCCGATCTCTTGTCGCCTTTCTTGAAAATAGGGACGACATGGACCATCTTCCAGTCATCTGGCACACATCCACTATTCAGAGACATTTGGAAAAGAAAAATCAATGCCTCTGTGATCTCCTTGGCCAGTTCCTTCAGAAAACGTGCTTATATGGCATCTGGTCCGGTAGCCTTGTATTGTTGAAGAATATATTAAAGCTTGATTACACCAAGTGAATTGATGGTTATGCTCTCCATAGTCAGAAATGGGCTGGGACCCTTGTCTGGGGCTTGGCTAGTATCCTCCTTTGTAAATACGGATTTAAACTGTTTATTTAAGATATTCGCCTTGACTTGTGGGTCGCTGGTTATGAGTCCATCAGTATTCCGTAATAGTGCTACGCCAGAGGCTTCTTGTTTTTTTGCTTTTAATGAATAACCAGAACATTTTGGGGTTTTCTGTGGTGCTGGGGTTGATAATGTCATTCACTTATTGTTGGTAAGCAAGGCGAATAGTACGCTGGCACTCAGACTTCAGAGACAGGTACCTTTGCTGGTCACGCTGCTTCTTTGTCTGCTTGGCTTTGTGGAATATGCGTAATGTCCCGCGTGCTCAACGCCTGCTAGCTGTGTTGATCCTAGCTGGCTGGGTTAGATGTCCTGGATCGTGTGAGCTTGTGAGGAATATGTCGGTTCATGATGCTACGTGTAGTGTCTCAGAAGAGGTCCCATTGAGTATCAACAGAAGTGAAAGGTATAGTGGTGAAGTCTTGTACAAAGCTGTTGATGTCTCTTCGTAAAGATGACATATCTGCCTTATCCCATGAGTATATTTCCTGGCGGGCCGGTTAACTTCTAAGTGGCTGCAATAAGGAGTCAATTAAGACTGGTCATGGTCTCCTACCTCTGTGAAGACTTTACAACGTTGCACAAGTGATGGGTTGCTGGTGAAGAACAATCTAGGATTTTATCTGCCCGTGTTGGAGTGCATACAAGCTTCTCTACTCCACAATCACCAGGGATGGTTAGGTACTCTGTCGACATCTTGCTTGGGTATTGATTGGGTAGACCAGTTAATGTCTGGGAGGTTAAAATCACCCGCCTTCCAAAAGTCACACTTGGATATTCCGAGCGAAGCTTGCTCATCTCTGCTACGGCCACACGTACATTGTTTTCACTTTAAATGTTGTTGGGTGGGCGGTAGTAGGCTTCTATGATGATGGACTTTTTATTGTTTACCTGAAGTTTAACACAGAGGAGCTCATGTTCTTTACTGGTGTACACCAAGTTATTCTTGACAGCAATGATGATTCCACCATATGTGAATCAGTCCTATCCCTTCGGAAAACATTATATGTTGTAGGTATAACCTCTGCTGTACCTTAATTAGTCTTTTGAAGTTTAGTGATAACACTCTTAGAAACTTCCGTTTGTTTGTTGGGTTTTTTGTGGGGTTTTTTGGCTTATGTTTGAATTTGTTTCATTTTTATCTGTCAAAATCTAATTACCTCTATCTGAAAATAATAAATTTAATATTGAAATATTTTACTTGTTTTCCGGAAAACATTTGGTTTTGCGTCAAAATTTAAGATTAACACTGCATTCGCTACTTCCGGTGATTAATCATCGACGTAAACAGAGTTTGTGGAAACATACACTGCCTGTTTTTCGTATTTAATCGTTTCTTAGGAGTATTTTCTAACATGAAGAGCAACTAAAATTTAGAATGCCACCCAAATTCGTCAGAAACCCAGCGGGTAGTGACTTTAGCCAAGCAAGGAGGGAAGAAAAGGTAAACAAAATCCAACTCATTCTCTGCTGTTTTTTTTTCTTGATTATTAAGCTATTCAGAATACATGTAGCTTTATAAATCTATTCCAACTGTATGCTGATCCTGAATAAGAATCCATAAACAGAACTTGTATTATTGTCTTCGTTGAATATGGTTTGTGTGTCTCAAAAGGATATCTTTATTATAGACATCCTTGCTTGATGCCCAGAGTGATGATGAAGATTTCTTTTTAACGTAAGTGAAACCTAATGGGGACTCTGAAGGCAGACAGACATCTCGGCCCAATGACACCTTGGCCTATGATGGTTGAACCTCGGCCCTCACAGGTCGGCCTGGAATTATTGACACGTCGGACCATGTGAAAGACACATCGGCCCAAGGAAATTTTGTGATAGAAAATTTTAATCTAGTGTCTGAATTGACATTTTCATATAATTAATTATTCTTTCTGACAATTACACAATTTTCCTCCTAAAAAATCAAATCTTTCTAACGATTTAATAAATATATATTGTATTTTTTCTTTGACAATTTGAAATATGTGGGATAGGTCATTCGTCCGTGATAAGGGATGGACTACTGGTATTTTTTTTTTTTTGACATGGGAGGCTTTTGTGAAAATTTAATTGAAAAAATCAATCAGAATTTTCTTAATGTACAATTTGGTTTAAACCATTGAATGTTTTCATAAGAAATGTTCAAGAAATATTCAATGGAGCCTGCTCGTAATTAACTACCATTCTCACCGTCACCAATATAACAGGCACTTGATACTCCAACTTGAAAGAATATGCCGCGGCTAATTGTTTGTTTATCAATAAGCACCTTAATTATGTCTTTTCATTTTTTGACTATAGTTAATATGCCTGGGGAAGTTTATTTTATAATTTTATTTAAAAATTGATCCTTTTTGTTTACTTTTTCATCAAATATTTTATTTTAAAAGTCGCAAATTCTGAAATTGAAAATTATTAATATATTTTACAATGAAATGCTTGGGCCGAGGTGTCTTAAAGATGGGCTGACTTGTCAAAGCCAAGGTGTCATTGGGCCGAGATGTCGATGGGCCGAGGTGTCTGACATTCACTCTGAAATGTTAATTGCTGTTCCCGACTTAGCACCAGAATTCTTTTTCATTAATGTTAAAATCAGAAAATAATCAGTTTTTTAAATGCTTTTGTGGACTGATTTCTGTCATTTCTATAAACAGAGGACCAAACGTGAGACCTGGAGGAAGTAAAAGTGACCCAAAGATTGACAGGTACAAATGCTTTACCTTTAATACTGGGGGGGGGGGGGGGTAATTACTATTATTTTAAGACTTGAAAACCTCAGATGTAGGTACTAAATATTTATGCAAACTTTTGATAGAAATTTTAAAATTAATTTTATATTCAGTTTTCATCAACTTCTTGATATGAGCAAGAAATTCTCAAATATGACATTAAACACACAGATTTCAACACATACACACTGAGATTAGGGGTATCACTATTAATGTAAGATTGCAAAACATCAAATGCTTTTTACAAGTAATAAATGATATTAGAATTATTTTAGAATTATTTTTAATTTTCATCAATGTCTTGATTTGAGTGAAAAATTCTCAAATGTGATATTAAACACACAAACAAACAAAACAAAAATAAATTTCATCACATACACACTATTCAAAAGTTTAATTCCATTTGTTTTGATAATTTATAGACTGCAGAACCAAGTGAACGATGTTGTTGATGTCATGCAGAGTAACGTGTCCAGAGTGTTGGAGAGGGGAGATAAACTGGAAGATCTACATGACAAATCAGGTAAACTTCAGTTGGATTTATGTTCTGAAATTTGTTTGAAATATGAATACCACATAAAGGTTTATTATTCTGCAGATAGTCTAGCAGGTAATGCTGATATGTTCCGTAGCCGAGCAAGAGGACTTCACAAAAAGATGTGGTGGAAAAATTGTAAGGTAAGAAAACTGATATAGCATTTTTGATTTTAGCAGTTAAATTAATTAGAATTAAGATTTTTTCTTTCATTTTTTAAAAGTTCACAGTTTTCAACTTAACTCTGAAGAACTTAATGCCTGAGTCTCAGTTAAGCCTAAATTTGTCACCAACATGATATTTTTAAAAATGAAACATCTTTTTATACTCATATTTCAGATGAAGTTAGCACTTGCTGTGATAATTCTCATTATCTTCCTTGTGATTATCAGTAAGTTTACCTAATTATCAGTACATTCATTGGTTATCAGTCAGTTTTTCTTGAATATAAGCAAGTTTACCTTAATCATCAGTAGGTTTACCTTGAATATCTTTATCAGTAATATTACTTAGATTGCTAGTAATTTTACCCTGATGGTCTTTAAGTTTAATTGATTATTAATATGTTTTTTGGTGAATATTCATGTAATTAATATGAATACTCTGAATTGTTTCTATTGAATGATTTTTCAGTTCCTATTATTGTGAAGTCACAGAAGAACTAGGTGAAAGATGCCAAAGAATTCATGTTTTGCCGTAGATTTCAGATGTACGTCTGGTTGCATTCTTTTTCTGCTTTTGTGCAACTTACCTTGTCGACCGATCTCTGCTGAATTAATAAATCAGTATAAGAATGTTGCTATGTCTAATTCATCAAAAGTATCTCTGAGGAGCGTTTAAACTGAAATGTCTAAGTATCTGTGTGATAGCATAGGTATATATTTTTTCAGAGTATCTTGCTGGATATCTTGTTAGCATGATTTATAGAACATATCATTCATTGGGATGATTATTTAACTGTAAAACTTGTTAGTCCAGTACCAATTATATACAAAGATTCTGTATGTTTTTATCTGAGAATATTTTTGTATGGAAATATTGCAGCTTGCAGCTCTTTTTGCAGGATCTAATGGATTACTTGTTTTTCTGATTTACATATGGAATCTTTGCATAAATTTAATAATGATTTATTTTGTATGCATAATTTAGATGCTCTTACCTGTATTTTGTTGATGGTTTTATTCTGTTAGTATTATAAAAATATAATTTTATTAGTTACATAAAAAAGATCATATAAAGATTACAAATGCATTATAAACTGTAATAATGTTATGATTATGATAATTTTGATTTATAAGTATTAAAATCTATAGAAATTTGTGTCATTCTTTGCTTTATTTCACCAATGCATTGAAAAGATATTAGGTAATGTCTAAAATCTTTTCTAAATGCAAAAAGTTCCAATTGCTTTATGGGATTTGAATTATGGCAAGATTTAATATAAAATGTTGATAAAAGTTGTACATTGATATCACCAGCAGCAAAACTAAGTACACTGATAGGATCATAATAAGGAAAGGATTACAGTGTTTAGATCTGTATAATATAGAGTTCCATAAGGATAGCATCTGCACAATAATAGGTTCTCAGTGTGTAAATCTGTACAATAACTAGAATCCCAGCATTAACATCTCTGCAATATATATTGGCTCCCATTGTTAACATGAGTACAATATATAGGACCCTATTGCTAACATCTGTACAACACCAGTGTATGGGATCCCAAGTGTTAACATGTGTACAATATATATACTAATATGATCCAATTGCTAACATCTGTACAATATGAAGAATCCCAGCATTAACACCTATACAATATGAAGAATCACAGCATTAACATTTGTACAATGTGTGGGATCCCAGTGTTAACAACTGTACAGTGCTTTGGATCCAAAGTGTGTACATTTTTTCGGATCCCACTACTAATTTTGCTTATTTTGTTAAAAAACATTCTGACTTTTCACACAGGAACTCTAAAATCGATATTAAAAAGATGTTTGAGTTTCTAAGTGACAATATCTATGTTGTTTTTGGATACGATATATTTAGGCGAGCTTGGAACTAAAAGATACCATATAGTCTGACACATCTGTTTCATATTTAGATATTTTACTTGAAAAAGACTTTAATATTAATTTAATTAACAACCAAGCTTTATGATAAACGTACGGAATTTAACTCTTCAAATGTCAGCTTCCCTTACTCCTCCATCACCTGCATACGGGGTTTCTATCTCTCAGTTGATTCGATACGCAAGAGAATGATCTACGTATGAAAAATTTGTATAATGAGGTAAATTATTAACAAGCAAGTTGATGAACCAAGAATATCAACAATCTTGTTTGAAGTCATCATTTCGTAAGTTCTATGGTCGATACAATGGCCTTGTCAGCAAATACAATTTATTATTAAGGATATCCGATCCTCAACCAGAAAGGATAACTCCAAAAATTAATATTTAATTTGAAATGCATCAAAGTGAAGCTTGAAAATGAAATTTTTTCATGCAACAATTTTCATTTTATTCATCTTTATAAGATCCAAGGTTTTTGGAAGTCTTAGAAAAGGTTGTTGACATTTGTACCCTATAAAATGAAAAAAAATCAATACAGTTTTAGAGAAATAAGATTTTCTTGAATCCAGGCTTAGATACCAATATTATTAGCATGATATGAAATAAGAAGTGATTTGCGGTGTCCTGCAATGATAGCAAAAGTCTTTAACACTAGGTATTATAAAATACATGACGGAAATAGAAGACAAAAAATACCAAATAAGTATAAGAAGCATATGGAGAAGAAGGATATGGAGATAACGAACAGTATTCAATCTCAAAGTTCATAAAACAATACAAAATAGGAGCAGAGCAAACACGGACCTCCGAAACATCAGAGGTGGGATCAGATGCCATGGAGGAGTGAGCATCCTCTGCTGACCGGTCGGACCCGCCGTGTGCTCATTGTAATAACGGAAAAATCTGTCGTCAATTCAGTGTATAAATAATGGACTAACTATTGGTATGAAAAACGTCAGTCAGCATTTGACTCAATGATAAATTGTATTTGCTGATAAAGTCATTGTACCGACCATAGAACTTACGAAATGATGACTTTAAACGAGACTGCTGATATTCTTGATTCATTCAACTTGCTTGTCAATAATTTACCTCGTTTTAGAAATTGTTCATACGTAGAGCATGCTCTTGCGTATCGAATCAACTGAGATATATACACTCCGTATGCGGTGATGAAGGTATATGCTGCATAAGTAAGGGAAGTTGACAATAGAAAAGTTAAAGTCGTCACGTTTATCATATAACTTGGTTGTTAGGTTACCATTAACGTCTTTTTCAAGTAAAATATTCAAGTATGAAACAGATGTGTCAGACTCTGTGGTATCTTTTATCTCAATCTCTCCTCTGAAGGTCGAGTTGAAGGCCACAGCATGTGTTTTCTTCTTTTCACTCATAAGATTTTGCATAAATTCTGCTTCATATGAATACAAAAATAGATCTGCTAATAACGAGGCGCAATTGGTACCCATGTGAATTCCAATAGATTGTTGGAAGACCTGGTCTCCAAAAACTACAAAGATATTGTTAATGAATCAGAAACTTAAGTTTCTTTTTGATGTCAATTTCAGAGTACTTGTGTGCAATCAGAATCTGTTTTAACAAAATAATTTTGCAAATGACCAGGTAAGTAAACTTACGAGTTCCATTTTTATTGAAGAAGCAGCTGTCAATGAAATCAAAAAGCCTGGATTTTAATTTGTTGTGGGAAATTGTTGTGTATAAAGTGAAAGTCGTAAACTTTTCAGCTGTTGATTTTGGTAAAATTTTGTGATTTCAAATTGTCCAAAAGTTCTTTAAAATTTTTTAGTATGCACGTCTGATTCACACCACTTCTTGAATATATAGTTGCACAGTACTCTTGAAGTTTTTCCTTCACTACTGTCAATATCTTAGTGAGGAGTAACGAAAGAGGCTTGGTTGAACATTTACTGGAACCCGCAATGTATCTTTGTTTGTAAGGATTCTTATGAAGTTTCGGAATCCAATACATATAAGGTAGTTCAAATTCATTTTGGCTCTGTGGAATATTAAAAATATTCAAAACTGACACATAATTTTGAAGAATTTCTTCCTTAGAAAGGGAAGTATGAGAATAAGTAGGATTACCACTCTCAATACCTGGATACTTATCGTTCCTAACCTAAAATATATTTATTGATCAATTTGCAATTAGAAAATGCATTGCTGATATTTCAATTCGCTTTTTCTGCAAAAACATTGGAGATCTGACAATATTCCCTGTATAATATGATTAACTTTAATCGTTAACTTTGACGAAATACTGTGGATAAAATTACAAATAACATTGTGGATTCAGAGATACTTTTATGAGTATTTTTGATTACTTAACTGTTAATTTTTTAAACCTGAGGATTGGACTACCTTAAGTCAAATGCTGACTGACGTGTTTCAAACTAATTGTTAGGCCATTATATACACACCGATTTGTCAACAGATTTTCCTTTATTTCCCGATCATGACACGGCGGGTATGACCGGTCGGCAGGGCATGCTCACTCCTCCGTGGCACATGATCCCACCTCGGATGATTTGGAGGTCTGTGTTTGCTCTGCTCCTTGTCTGTTTTGTTAAATAGACTTTTCAGCTTGAGTACTGTTCGTTATCTCCATATATTTTATCCCAGTGTTAACATCTACATGTTTGGGATCACAGTGTTAACAACTGTTCAATATATAGGATTCCAATGTTAATAAACATGTATGTAAATATACCAGGGTATAAAATCCCAGCATTAACATCTGTACAAAATATAGGATATTAATGTTAATATCTGTACAAAATATAGGATCCCAATGATAACATACCTACAATATGTAGAATCTAAGTGTTACAATGGGACCTTATTACTTGATAGGATCATGATGTGATAGAGATCATTGAGAAAAAAATCAAATAATATGAACACAGTGTTTAGAACTGTACAAAAATACAAATAACCAGTGTTGAAATATTTTCATTAAAAGAATCACCATGTTAAGAAGTGTACAATTTTGAGTTCAATATATTAATGTTCCCACAATGATTGTAATATTGGTATGATGTCTTCTATAGAACACATTGGTTACATCATCTGTACAACCAGAGGATCACACTTTTAAGACTCGAAAAAATCATGGTGGGACAAAACTACAATGTTTAGGCCTCCGTTATGATTTGTAAGGCGGTGGTGATAATGATGTGAAAGTGTTTTATTGATAGGACCATAGCGTTAAGATGATAGCATCACAATGTTAAGATTTGCATGACTCTGTACAATGATAGGAAGATTCCGTTCCTTAGATGGATCGTTGTATTAAGAGCTGTACAACAAATATTGTTTTCTTCACTCAAATTCAATCTTTATCATGTTTATTCCGTTGATCAACTTGTATGCAGATGAAACACCCCATGCGTCTTGCTCTCAATTAAAAAATAGCACTAACGCCCAACACTGAGCATTTTCTCAGGAAATCATCAAACTATTATTATTTCTTAGTTATAATAAGAATCTTTCTTTCACGATATTTTGGTTTTAAACACATCAATTTGGATGTCGGGACTAAGTGTTAAGTGTCTGGATATACAACTGCGGTAAAATGCGAAGCTCCTTCCTTGAACGTAGCCCCATTGGTCCATTATATGGTAGGTCTCTTTATCGTCGACCTTGACACTGTCTACATCAGTATTACCTTCAGACACATACATTGACCGTACAGTGGCAAACGGAAGTGTATACCTGTCCCTTGTGAAGAAAACTTCGGACACATGAGCTTGAGTTTCACTGTAAGTACTGTTAATTTTCATTAGCATCGAACCTCCATCTTTATAAAAGATGCGCATAGTCCATCGTTCTGGGTCTATATTAAGCTGTTTTATGGAGGTATAAGGTCTTATTGAATCACTGTACGTTTGTCCAAGAATAACGGATGTACCAAATGGGATCCAGTCAAGTCCTTCGGGAGTCACCGGAATGAATCGGGCATTTCCGTCCTGGTACAAAACTAGAACTTGAGAATACCCATTGTTCCATGGAATCGGTCTGTAGATCTGTAGATAAGCAACGTCTTCGTAGGTCTGTCCGTTAGTGAGGTGTACAGTCATTCTGTCCGGGGCTAACCACCACATTTCTACGTAAACAGCTACAATGTGTACGTCATCACTCTTGTAGATGGTCACGTGCTTCTCGGGCTTGAATGCTCTTTTCTCCAGACGCAAATTATTTACCAAGAGAGCAAGATTTTCTGACTCTGCTGTTAAAATGATGTAATTAAGACTGTCTTCCGTCCAGGTAAAGTCTGGGATTGTCCATGTGAATTGCAGATTCTGATGTGTAAAATTATGTGTAATCGGTAACGACAGATTACCCCATTTTTCTTTATAACGCAATTTTATCATTGTTGGAGCTGTAAGGGTCTTTAACTGAAGAGTTAATAACGATCCAATTTTTGCATCCACACTCCCTTTCTTTTGTCCCTCCAGAAAGAAACGAATGATGATATAAACTTCGTTTGAAGACGTTGAATAAAATGACATTCTGGCGCCCTTATTGTTGATTATTTCGGCAGATGAGGAACTGACGTTAAAGTTATCGAATCGCCACAATTCTGAACTTAGATGAGGGCAGTTTGTGGTGTTCTCTTCCCTTCTGTTGGAGAAGGATTTATACTGCGGAAGTGAAGCCGTAATCGTGAAGCTGTCAATGTGAGCGTTGTACAGGGGTATGTCAATGTTATCAACTTCTGCACACTTAGTCGGAAACGATCTCTGTTCTATTCCAGAAGGCAATGCGTTCTCGGAAGAGGACGGAGATCGTACGGGGAACCTATTTTTCTCTGTGCATATTGTTTTGCACGATAAAATATCATTGTCCATCCATGGGTCATCTACACTGAACCGTAAAGTATCCACAGCAATGCCTTCCGTGTACCCGAAGTAATCCATGACGTAAATCTTGATGACGTGCCATCCGGGTTCCAGGGTGTATCTGTGTGGAAATATTCCCGTGTTCTTGAATCGGTTCCAATCCATACCGGGTCTCACATAGAATGTTCCCATCCATTCTCCACTATTGAAGGTCACGTTGAAGAAGGTGGAGTAATTATAATTAGAAAACCTGACATCGTCCAGTCGTATCATGGAGTGCTTCCTGATACACACATTAAGGGACAGTGGTTGTTCTTGTGACACTAACACTGCTTTTCCATCTGTGGCTCCTGAGAGCGCCATAACTTTGTGGTTAGAGGCGGATCTGAGGTTATACGCAGGGAGAATAAGCGCCTTGGTGACCTCCAATGAAATCAACAGGGAATATATCAAAGTTAGGGTTAATCTCACCATGGCTGTACTGTAGCGGCACATACTGAATCTGTAAACAGAATATAAAAACTTCAAAAAGTTAAAGCTGCTTCTAATATTATGATAGCCACGATTATAATTTTTTTTGTATGAGACCTTAGTTCCGTGAAATTCATGTATAAATATCATATAATAAATATAATCTAAATAAAGACATTATTATTGGGAGAAAAGTGAAATCACGCTTAAAATTAATTATAAATTTGGAAAATTATTTATGTATGATTTATTTTTACAGCTATTTTTGTCATGACATAATTGCAAAATCTCATATTCTTCAACTCAATCTAATTATTATTTCCTAAAAATTAATTAATATTCATTCATTAAATATTACTACAGTCGATGTTAAAACGTAAAATTATTTCCTACAAACTACATACTTACTACAGCTGCACTATCCAATTGATCTGTCTGAAAACTATGTTATCTTATGATGTACTATAAACTTCTTTGTATAAATTATATCAAGGCTCTATTCGAATTAATGTTCCTGTTTAATAAACGTAAAAATGATGGATGTATCCCATCCATTTAAAGAGTGTATGTTGATCTATTAAACGTATTTTTATTTCACAAGGAAGTGAAATCGTGTACAATTGTCTTAAAAGAAAGGATCGTTTGGCCGGACTTCAGTGAACAATAGAAATAGACATGTCAGAGTCTAATGTCTTTTACATTAAACCATAGAGCTGTCATTTTTACCAGAACCACAAAAAGTGAACAAATCATTAATGAGATTGAAAGAAAGGGATGTGGTTTACAGTCATTCTTCACAATAAGAAATCATAGTTTTTCTTATATTTTTTTATGTTTGTTCACGGCTTTTCATTAAAAATCAACCAATTTTATGCAATCATCAACACCTGATAAGACCGTGGAGGGGAACTAAGTGAACTTACCTTTTTAGCACGTGACTCTTTGTCTCTCCTTGTGATGCGGCCGGTTTTTTCAAAAGGATGTCAGAGAAATGTGTGTCATCCACTGGCCGTTAATGCACATACACTCAATGCTGAGAAATGGATTTATACCTACGCTTATTAATTAATATGCCTGTCTTACATTTATACTAAGCAAAAGATAGACTCCATAACCCTCCTCATAATTTATTCAGTTATGGACAAGAACATGCATAGTTAATGAATTAGAATATTTTTGGTCAACAATACTTCCACGATGCAAAAAGTACTGAATTCGACACAAATATAATCATGCCTATAAATCAAAACGAATTTTAGCAAGAAACTCTGAAACAATTAACTTTATTATTAGATTCAAACACAGTAATGGACAGAATTAGCTTCTTCACAAATCCAACTGATTAATAATAGTTTATTTCCGCTTGTTTTACACGTACCTTAATCAAACTTAATAATAGTTACTGGTATGCCAAATCATTGAAATGTTTCATTTCAAGAAGATCGCAACAATATATTTTGTTGGATTTTCATAAATAATTTGTTCCATGTTGCTGTATTATTACGACACCTGGGAATTTGTTACTTATTTCATGATCTCTTAAATTATTTGCAATTCTACTACAGTATTATTTTGTTTAAGAATAAGTTTTAATATTCCTTTCTCCAATGCATTTATCATTCATTCATTACTCATCCAGTTAAAGAAATGCTGTTAGATATATATTCTAATAACTCTTTCTATAATTCTTTCAAAATAGACTTGTCATGGCAAAATGTACCTGCAATTGTGTTTTAAAAAATTGCAAAAGCAATCATACTGTCACGAGTTTGATTTTAAAGAGCAATCCAATGAACCGGGTATCGATCTGTTGATTTACTCGTGTTTACTTGATCAGTGGAGCTTTAAATAGTCTCGCAGAGAATGTTCCTCACTAAATATAACCCATTTAAATACATACTTTACTGTGATCCAAGACTGTCTGCCATTTTGACTGACTATAAACACTCTTCGACAAAATGACGATTTTGTGTGATTAGATCCTGATCAGGACTGCCTCCCCACTGAAACACCATGTCCAAGTCCCCTGTAACTCCTGACTATGTGGATAAACACATGCCCCCGCCGTCTTATGAGGAGGTGATGGGACACCAGGCTCTCTCCTCCGTGAAGGCTGACGTCCCTAGGGAAGAACTGCCTCCCCTGGCCTACATAGACATCATGCCCAGGTGTCTGCATCCGGGGAACATGAGGAAAAGGGTGCCACCCGAATACGACAGATTCAGGTAAACTTTGTAACAGACTTGTGACATTTTAACAGTGTTTTAGTGTTCTTTATGTATTTTCTAATTGTATGCAGAAAATTTCGTGTATTAAGAATTAATGTACATGTATAAAAAAATCTTGGTTACAAGGAAAAATATCTCCTAACTATCCGTCATATAAATTATAATAACATTTTCTTAGACATATTAGATGAATTTATAGAAATTCAGTAATCCAGGTTCTCAGGACCTCCTTATAAGGAACTTTTTTTTGCATTTTTGGGGGGTATAATTTGGAAACATTTCAAAACTGTAGAACACACAGCACTAAACTGTTAGTGTAAAACTTTACAATATCACTGAACATTAAGAGCCATTCTCTGTAATGATTTGAAATTTTATATAGGAGCTGTGGCACGCATAGTCTCAGAATTTCTCCAAACTCTCTATGATAAAAGACATTGATACCCTAAACTGAAATCAGGCAAAAATTGGTTGCTATGTTTTATAGTTACCATGGCAACATGTCTTGAAGTTCGAAAAATGGCATTTTTTAACATGTTTAGAGCGCCATAGTTAACATTTGCGGCAAAGCAAACAATGGGCAATGACTGTTTCCAAAAGTTGAAGGTCAGATGTCTCAAATGCATGATAAACATGTTTGGTAAATCAACTATTACATACGTTACTATGGTAAGAAAGTATTCAAAAGTAAAAAAAAAATATTCATTGAATTTTATAAAGTCATACACGTAAAAATAAAAAGCAATTATAGGATGAAATGTTACCAAATAATAGAAAAAAGAGCCTTGAAACATATACCAAGAACATAATATGATATTTCATTTTGGTTGGCAATGGTTGCCAAGGTTTTTATACCCAGAGAGCCTTCAAAGTAACACTCTGTATAATTAAATCTGATCCTGTCTTTTAAAAAAAGCACATTTCCTCATAACTAATGATCAATTTAATAAGATGTCGGTGTGCTCCAAGTTTTCCCATTTGAAAAAAATTCCGATTCTATTCTTTAAATAGAGCGTTGCTATGGAAATAAGCAGAAAATATATGCTTAAAAACCTGAAAAATATTTTATTTCCGTGGATACGTACCCTTAAATGTAGATTCCCAAAACTTTTATGATTGATATTTATTAACAGCTAACTTTACTTTTAATTTTGACTATCATCCAATCTCTAAGTGGATGCAAGAAGTTGGCACACAGGGTTTAATATTGATATAAAGGTCACAAAATCGAACATTTTCCCTTCTTGGAAACCATAGCAACAGTGTTGTTTTATTTATCAAATTTTATCAATATATGATATTCAACTTCAGTTCTAACAGATAAGTACTATTCAAGCTGAGTCCTTTAATTTGTTTCTTGATTAAATGGCAATTTAATTCTTAATGCAGCGAAAAATAATTCACTTTTAAGCACTGGTACTTTGTTTCCATGGTAAGACTGCAAAGTAGCAATTATACTCAATTTTTCTTATGGTTTTGGTGTTGCAAGGTCCTAAGGATGCATATTTGCCAGTCTTGATTTTTCATGTTTTTCCTCAAGACAGTAGGATTAATCCAATCTTAGTTACTGGTTTTGCATGGTTACACTGTGTTACCATGGCAACCATAAAAGTTATTTATAGAATGATATTGCTTATACTTATATACTTAAGGTCAAACATTTTCATTGTTCTTCTTAAGTCGTTGATTGAGTTTGAGCATGTAACACCTACCATTGGTGAATACAGAGTGTTTTTCAGAATATTTCAGCATTTTAAATGTATTCCAAAAGTACCCTTTGTTACCAATTACTTAGAGATATAATCTAAACAGTTTCTTTACAGTATGAGTGACATCAAGGTGTCATGTTTTTGTGAGAATGGTTTGTTTGCTTTTTCTAGTTTTTTTTAAGCCACAGTCAAGATTTAAAGTGGCTGAAAATCTCGATTTTTCAAAATTTTCCGGTTGTTGCCATAGCAACCGAGACACATAGCAACGAAATTTTGATATCTGTTTCTGGTGTTAAGTACTAAGCATGGGTGAAGTTTCATCAAAATCGGTGACCATGCGTGGCAACGAAGTTTAAGTGGTTACAGAGAATGGCTATTAATTATCTTATGCTTGCAGTACCCTGATAGGAGCAGCTAATTACTGGCTCCGAGCAAACCCAAATTACGGTGTGTGGAAATGTGAGACGGTAGAACGAAAGGTGGAGTCGAGCGGGGAGATAATTATGGATAAGATGTTAAGCCACGAGTCAACCTATGGCTTCAACGTTCTCATCAGAGGGCTAAGGTAGGGAACACCATATTGTATTTCTCCTATACATACTCGTGAGAGAACTAAGGAAGGGAACGCCATAATATGACAAGGTTCTCATCAGAGGGTTAACCATAATATTCTTTAAGAAATGGAAAAAATTAAAATCCATTCTTTATTGAAATGATAAACTGATCCTGCAGTCACCTTTATACTCTCTCAACAGTGTCCTCATACAGTCCTTTTATTGACTGTTTTAGGTTATGGTTATACGTTAAAGACCCCTCCACACCACCACAACAACTAGGACTTTTAAACAAAGTCCCCAAAACCACAGAGGTGAACCTCACAGCTGGCCAGCTGTATCACCCATTTGCTGGGTTTGCCATCGGGCATCCATTATTTCTACAAATGTATGGCTATTCAATGACCACATATCAGGGATTTGATGAAACCCTACAAAGCTTAAATGAAGATTTAAAGAAACAAACACTGCAAGGTTTGAATACTACAAAATTCTAAAAGATACCTTATATAGAAAAAGTATTATTCCATAGCTATTAACATTTAACAATTGTTAAGCATATCAGTTTTCAGAATGCTGAAAACTGATATTACTAGTATTTCAATGCTTACCCAGGTTCTATACTGAATGTTGAAAGTGCCACACTTAAGATGTCTGAGGGACTGGAAAAAGCTGTCATTGATCCTGATAACACTGTCTGTCATGAGAATGGCGGGAAAATGAAGCGGTACACGCAGATCATACGTGTCTTCTACGTCATAGGAGAACCTGCCAATGAAACAATAGGTTAATCGTAGTTCTTTACTTGAAATTTCTTATTCCAATAATTTAGAAAAAATGTAGGGGACACGTTGTATAAATATATACGAGGGGTTATCAAAAAGTTCGTGGACTAGCGTCATAAAATTAAAACCGCTTTAGGCATATCAACGAATTTTACAATATCTAGTTATCATCATCTTTTCTATCTAAAGAATAAACCATAAATCATAAATTTTATTTTTCAATCAATGAGTGATGTTTTTGTAAGCAATGGTATGTCCAGGCGGCGCAACCTCGAACACGACGTTTTTGCGACCTACGTGTAACTAAGAAAAACTCTTTTGATACGGTCATTTGACATCCAAAAATCCCGTTATAAAACAGGTATGTGTCTGGACACAATTGTTCCATAAAATACGAAACTTTCACTTCATTCTGGAAGTTTTATGAAATTATATCGCAAATTTTACACGGAATGTCCAAATAAATGAGGCCTTGAAAATGACGTCAAAAGGGGGGAGGGGTTTCCGTTTCCTACATTCTATCAAGTTGTGCCCCTGACCTAGACATAAATATGTTGAAACTGGCTACAGAGAAATAAAATGCATCCAGAGTACTTGTCTTTTAATGTCAAAATAGATTCAGAGAGAAAAGGGATACACAGTTAATGTCGATGTGCAGTCAAGTTGTGAAAAATTAATCACGTCAAAAAATGTCGCTGATCATGCGTTGTAGATATTGAACTCCCAAAAGCAAAATATGCCGGCACAATCAAGCGCGGATCTCTCCCAATGTATCAATCCATTTGGAATATTATATTCATTGAAGGCCACTGTTCATGGCATTGTAAAGTCATATAAACAAGTCGGGTTTAAGTCCTTTCTTAGCTCCCGGGTTTCTCATCAAGAAAGTGTATGAGGTAAAAGAAGCGGACAATGAAAAAACAATGACGCTATCAGACGTCATGAAAGTAAACGACGACAGCGCCGAGTGATCATATATTGTCGTTTTCATTTCATAATAATTTGGAAAATAATGAACGTATCAGGCTAAAATTTTCAACTTTTCTTTATTTTTTGTTGTTTTATGTTCCATATAAATTTTGAAAGCACAGACTACATAGTACTAATTTTATAGCCTCAGTCCACGAACTTTTTGATAACCCCTCGTACATGTAGTGTGCATTCGTACATTCTTTGTTTATCCATTGTGTTTTTAACCTTTTTGTACCAGGGATGAAAGAATTTATTCCCAGCATTACAAAACCACCGGATATTGCTACTCACGCACAGTTTCAGAATTTCGAAGAAAACATGACAAAATTCAACAAATGGTTGCCGCATCAAACTGTAAGTAAAACATCTTCTTTTAAAATATGATACATAAATTTATAGACATGTGTCCTATTTAATAATTTAAATGTATACTAAAAATTATTGAAGATAACTTTTGGATAAACTCTCTCAGGGTATAAAGTTGGTCAACATTCAGACACATGAAGTCCGTTACACAGACAAGCTAGGTAAGCTCATATCCTATAGTCAATCGGATATCTACTCTCAGTGATTTGTGTAACTCAATAGATTCGAACTTTCTACCGTATTACAGGACAACTTGACATTCTCTCGGATCTGACGGACGACTTCGACGACGGAATGTCGGAAAGGTCATTTCTCCAGACACTCCGGGTATTTTACGTGATGGCGCCTAGTGCCGCACCCCCACCACAAATCAGCTTCATTACGTCACGGCTATTCCTCCCCGTCAGGACAGGAGAGAGGTCATTTGAGACAATGTCACAGACAATGTTCCGTATTGAAGCCTGGCTAAAAGTCACAGGTAATCTCAAAGTATCCATATATTTACTTATATAAGTCTTAAATTCAAATAAAATCGAAAAAGCTAAAAGTAATACATATATGAACTTACGTAAGACGTCTCTATTAAACTGTTGTCGAAAACAGGTATCCCTTCGTATAAAGTGGAAACCGTCAAGTTTCTTTATCGAGAATCCCTGAAGTCAGCTGTGGATGCTACCAGGACGTACTACACGTCCTTTAAAGGAGTTGGGAAGTACTACGTCACAGCGGTCAGGTAAACGAAAAATACAAATTAAAGGGGAAAAAGATTTACATTTATAGCTACAACTTTATATATACAAACTATAAATTACTCTAAATAAAATACACATAAAGATATCAGATAACCCTTAAAATTATAGACTCAGATTAGCATGTACAATTGTATTTACGATACTTTCACATTTTTGCAGGGTTTACTTTCTCTATCCGTACCAGGAGCCCCACCCGTCTTATCTCCCTCCCGCTTTCCCCTGGGATCCCTCCATGAAACCATCCTCTACCTGTACTATCCAGTAAAGCGCGGCTCATGTGACGTCAACTTGTCTATCAATTGTATTATCTGTACTTTTATTTACATGTACATCTTATGAGAGAGATTTGCAGATGCTATCCAGTTTTGATTATGGAACTTTCTTCGACAATAATATTTATTTTTTTAAATTAGATTCAAAAGCATTAACTGAAAACTCTGACCACGATCACTTACTATTTTATTATACATTCTCCGCATTCTAAGTCTTAAATGATTTATGTTTTAGAAATTCATGCAATGTAAATTTGTCAAAGGTTTATCTGACAAAAATATATTGAATGAATATACCTCTTTGTCATTGCAAATGTATTATTTTTTGTTTGTATTTATATTTATCAGAGAGAGAGAGAGAGAGAGAGAGAGAGAAAGAGATTCATTTTGGTCATGCATAATAAAATAATTTCTTTACATGATAATTTTTTTAAAATTACAAGAGATAAAACTTCATTGTCTGCCTTGAACGTATTCAAATATAATGACCAAACGCGATGTACTTATAACCAGTACGTACATTGCTGAAACATTTACAAATGTGAGCCATCCATAGGTAATAAGATCTAAAACATATCATGCATGTAAAACGTATGTAAAGGTATGTGCATAAAGATACCTCTTTTTTCTGAGCAAACAAAGATGAAAATTATTGAGAAAATGAAATTTGTGAAGGAAACAATGATTGTACATAAATTTTTGCCACAAGCAAGGTAAAATTAACATCATGCACACATTCACACAAGGATTTTGTGATCAAAGAAAATTGTAAAAATGCACGTTCCAGAGAGTTAAAATTAAACTGTTTTGAATTTACCAATCATGTACCCCAGAAAAAAAGTCATTTGTTATATTGATGAAAATTTCCTGTTTATTTCAAGTATTGGAACATTAGTTAGATTCACTTTGGTATGTTCAAATATTTACATTAAAAAGATCCTAGATAAATCCACAAGTAGTCATAATACGTGATTTCTACATAACGCTACTGGTTCATCGATAGGCGTGGTCTTAAAATACCACGTGCAAGGCGAAAGAGACAGAAAAAAGAAGGGTTGGATTGGAGCAGGTATATCAATGGAATTGAAAACATGTAGATATAAGAAATAGCTATCAGATTTTCTGATTTTGTGATGATGATCAAGCAAAAAGCTTGCATAATTATTTTATGCATAATCAACTCAGGCAAATATTCAAATTATCACGCAAGGCAAATGCTTGATCATGATCACATCATAAAACCATCTAGGGGTACAGTGAATATTGAGCTAAAAAATTATCATAATTGGCAAAGTCCATGTTTTGCTATGAGAGACCTGAAATAGATGTCAGATCAAGAAGTAATACAGGAGGTCACATTGGCACCAGTTATGTAATAAAGATTCTGAGAAAGTTTCATTAAATTTTATTCAGTGGTATAGGAGGAAATGCGAATAAAAGATGGGTATCCCTCAATAGTAATGTCCATGTTGTGCTATGAGAAACCCTAAATATGTGTTCGATAAAAAAAAAATAAAAAGTGCGCAATGACACCCTGTAACAAAGATTCTGTGAAACTAATTTAATTTCAATCAGTAGAAAAGGAGGAGTTGCGAATAAGAAATGGGTACTCCAAAGCGTAAAGGACTGACGGACGAACAGACAGGTGGACGGAGAAACATCCCCATCAACGTATGTCCTACCTGTTTTTCAAGCGTTTGTTATAAAATTTAAACCGTTATTCCTCAAGTATTGTCAAAACAAAAGTATACTTGTGGATACACCTTTTACACGTTTAAATGCCTTTGAAAACTCCCCCGATTATCGAAGGTCAATGAAACCATACAGGAACAGTGTTTATTGATTTAAATGTCTTATTTTGGTCAGTTTTGCAATACTGCTGCCATTCATACAGTGTTCTGGAAACATGTGGAAGAAAATGACCAAATGAAATATTCCAGTTATGTAAAGGCATGATTAGGAATGAACATTTATGAAATGGTCTGGTTGCTGTAAAAAGACTGTCAAAGAACTCAAACTGTGTATTCGACATCTCTATCTTATCAAAGAAACCCGTATCGAGCTTGTTCAGTGTGAGTATGGATTCGCCCCCACCAGTAATAACCACAGAAGATGTTATCAACTCGCTCCCTCCGCCCTCCTATGAGGACATTATGGGGCACCAGGCCCAAACCTCAGCGAAGACTGACGTATCTAAGGAGGAGTTGCCGCCCTTGGCTTACATTGACATAATGCCTCGATGTCTTCACCCGGGAAATATGAAAGGACGAGTTCCACCGGAATACGACAAGTTCAGGTAAGGGTTAATTATAGCATTTTTAAGTTTAAATGCACCAATTTATAATCAGATAATTTTCTGGACGTTGTCAAGGATTTTACTGTATGGTCGAGTGTATCCTAAACCCCAACCCAGCTGCAATTGCTCTGTAGGTTCCTGATTTTCACTGTTTGTTTCACTTTGATAGTACATTGATCCAGGCATCAAATCACTTTTTGTTTTACTTTTACAGTACTTTGATACAGGCATCCAACCACTGGCTACGAGAGAATCCAATGTACGGCGTGTGGAAATGTGAGACGGTAGAGCGAAAGGTAGAGCCAAGCGGGGAAGTTATAATGGAAAGCATGTTATTTCACGAGGCCACGTATGGGTTTAACGTTTACATCAATGGAATCAGGTAAATCTCTTTAAAATTCAATCAAAGAACTAAAGAACTAAAGAGTCGTAAAAATTCAAAGATTTTGAAAAATAAACTTGTATACTGGAGCAAATAATTGTGATCCAGTCATTTTGTCCATATTAATCTATATTAATCTATCATTACTAGACTGTGGTTGTATGCCCGCGACAAAAGTTCCTCGCCTCCTCAACAGTTGGGGCTTTACAGCAGAGTTCCAGACAAGGTATCCATACCCTTCGCTTTCTATGGACGCCGCAGATTTCACGGTCCGGCTTTAGTTCAAACCATAGCATCATACGAAGGACTGAGAACTACTGTAGACAAGCTAAACAAAGAACTCAAGAGTAAACCCATTGGAGGTAGGTCAGAATAATATGAAATAGGACATATTAAGACAAATAAAAATAATGTTGAGATATACAGAGCACTGTCAATCGTCTTAAAATTGTGTGAAGTAGTTCTTCATGCTATTGAAGGAACTATTTTGACTGTGGAGTGTGCCGTGATAAAGGCTGCGGAGGGATATGAGAAGTTAGACGTGGATCCTGACAATACAGTGTTTCATGAAAATGGCGGGAAATCACGGCGTTACACGCAGATTCTCCGGATATTCTACATCATTGGAACTTCAGCACAGGAAACCTTTGGTAATTGTACAGAATATTAAAAACAGCACCCTAGCATATGGGACCATTATGGCCTTAAAATATTGTCCCTTCTTTTTGCTTGTATATTCCGCAGAATTGATAGATGTTATACCTAAAGTAACCCATAAACCTGGAATGGGGACACCTGCCAGGTTTGAGACGTACGATGAAACACTGGAACGTCTATCTAAAAATCCACCCTCAGAACTAAAAGTACGTTCCTTTTTATTTCAAACACTTGATTCGAAAGTGATTTTTCTGCTTGCACTTTTTGATGAAAAATATGTATTCATACTGATTTTTTTTCTTAGGAAGGACGGATTGTCAATATACAAACTCATATATCGAAATACCGGGAAGTAATGGGTATCGTACAATTCTATCTTCTTTTCTTGATTTCACCAACTGTTTTTCAAAGTGCTGTAACAGAACAATGTATGATTTTTTTTTCCTTTCAGGTGAGGTTGATGTTCTATCGAACGATACCGATGACTTTGTCTTCGGTACTGCAGAAGGAAAACAGTTACAGATAATTCGCATTTTCAAAGTAAACGGAAGTTCAACCAATTCCTTTCCGCCAGGCCTTTCCACCAAACTCTTCCTTCCCGTTCGTACTGGACCGAAGTCATTTGAAAATATGCAACAAACAATGTACCGGATCGAAGCTTGGCTGAGAGCAACAGGTATATTTAGTTTATCAGGGCATACGACGTCGGATACCCACGCCTGGTCTTCAAACAGGTGTCTAGTTAAAGACACGATTTGTCACTGGTAACCGAGGATATTATATATAAGGGCACACAATTTCGTTGACCTCTTGCTATCTGATTTCTTCGATTCGTCGTTGTATGTCGATATTCTTTTCCCCCCTTTATATTCAGCAACCAAAGTTAGTGCATAATTTAATTGAGCCTCTTTCAAAATAGCGAAATTTTTTGCCCCTGAGCCATGGTTCTGATTAGGGTTGAGCCCTTTGGACCATAAAGTGAAAATTTGCAGATTCTTTAAAAAGATCTTTGCTCTTTAGAATTGAACAGACAACGTAAACACATTGTTCTGATGAGCGAAGGTTCCTAAAAAATTATAAAAATCAGAGACCCAGATACAAGGGCTCTGGTGTTAGATGTAGGTAAAATGTAACAAACAAAATTATGATGATAAAGTATATCTCCTTCCACATTGTGAAAATCACGGTTTCTTGATCAGGGATTCCAGTGATAAGATGGAGTTCTGTTGATCATTCACTGAAAATGCCTTCATTCTTTAAAAATCCTCTTCTTCTTACCATGGGTATTTTGCAGACAAGTAAATTCATGCTAATGATCGATGGGCAAGAGTACCTCTTACAAAATTGTGAATATCCTTGCCTAAAAATCATATTCTTTAATTTGTTGTGGATGTTCCTATTCCTAGTCAAATTTTGCTCTAAATGTTCTTTGTAGCTTTAAATCTCGATATTTGAGAGACATTTCTCCAATATGTTGTTGTTACAAGTCAAACACAACAAAATCACATTTGTGCACTGGACAATGTTATCAGTGAGTAACATTGACTTACTTTTCTAGGAGTACCTGTCTACACTGTTGATACCGTATCCTACCTCTTCAAACAACATTCTCCACTCGGTGTGGATAACAGCAAATCTAACGTGATCAGTCCCGCGGGGGTCGGGAAACACTTCGTCACTGCAATCAGGTCTGAAAATTATAAAAATCATTTTTAATGTTCATTAAAACTTACAAATAATAGACTGTTAATTCTTTTGCAGTATATACGTACAATACACTATACTATAAACTTTACATTCTAAAACAGTATTAAAGAAGAGATAATACATACCTGATCATTTAAATTGACCACCATCGCCACGCATTTTTAAGTCGATGTTAAGGCTATCAGTACATGCATTTCTTTATGTTGCAGGGTGTATTTCTCTCAGCCCTTCCAGGAACCTGACCCCGCCCTCCTCCCTCCTGTATATCCATGGACACCTTCCTCAGGATCATCCTCCTGTTCTATATTGTGATCGGACTTCCTGTACAACATACTGCGTGAAACTGTATCAAAATCAGAACACATAGGACCGGTCACTTATTGATCAAACGCATATATCAATATTAAGACTGTGATATTACTTACTTTTCTAGTTCTACTTTTTCAATGTTAAAACATATTTACATTCATATGTTATTGTTGCCTTAATAAAAATCAACAAAATGTTTCAGAGGAACTTTAAGAAGTAACATAAAAAGTTTAGACACGTCAAATGTGCTCGAACTGTAGCAGGCAATTTTATCATTCTAACCCGGACTGGAAGAGGTTAAACTTTTTTTATATTGATCTTCTCACTGGTCAACTTGATTACAATTTAGATTTTACTGACTAAGTAAGATATACATAGTCTCTTTCGTTGATTCATATTGTAAAATGTAGATACTTGGTATTTACATTTATATAGATATTTCAGAAGATCATAAATATTAAAACTATTTCAAGCATTAATCAGAAACCATGCCCAAATTAACTGCAGTTTAACATTTGATAAACTTACATCTTTCTTTTTGTTCGCTTATAATATCTTGACGTTTTTTTTTGGCTTGTTATCCGCAGGAATTGTGTGCATGAAACATTATTTTATAGTTGAAATGTTCACAGGTCGGTTGACCATAATTGGATAGATTTTACAATAGAAAGCGTTACATTTACATTAATATAATACATAATGTCAATTTGTAATATTTAAGCCCGCTTACCTAAAACCTGATAGTTACGTATAACATAGTAATACCGCGTAAGAATATGCACCTATAAAATGATAGAGTAAGAAAGAACATTTTTTTAAAGTCGGACTATATATATTTAATAAAGAAGCATAAGCTTTAAAGTTCTTTAACCGACTAGGGTATAGGTCTGTGAAACTCAAAGATTAGGAAAGAAATTCTTTTGTTCTCGGTGCAACTAAAGAAATTTTCTATTGTAGATTTTAAAAAAAAATGAAAATAAACTGAAAACAACGTAATTTATTGAATTAAAACAAGTTAAAACTCTCTAAGAAGAGAAATAAAAACTTCTCGATTAATGGCCTAATGAGTGTTTGGGGTGGAAGACGCACATATGCAACTAATATGTGGATTTTAAAATGACAATGAAGCACCGCATTGTTTTTATATAGAAAAAGTTTATTCTTATGGTCTCTGGGTCTCCTTGTTTTTAATTATTTTATTTTTAAAAAAATTATTTATATTTTACATTAAATGGATTTTTTTTTTCGTTAAATTAAAATGTACAAATATGACCTTTCAACATCGCGGAGAAATGACCAAGAGATTCTTTAATGTGTTTATAAATGTAACAATTCATAGCACATGACTCGTATTATCCTTTTTTCAAGTTATTTCAAGCAAATCAAAACATCCTTTGGAAAAAATATTTCCCTTTCCATATGAATTTGATATATCAATTGAATGCCAGAATTTCATGTGTCATGCAATTGAACGAAATATTCACTTTTAAAGTGCACCCAGATTCCTGTCAAATGCTTATAAAAATGTCCTCGTTGTGCATATACTCTTTAATCGTTCAAACATCAAAGTCAGATGCAATGATCAAATGTTTATGTTTAAATTTTTGCACAAATTTCTTCAATTATTTAAATTGCAAGCCCGTATAAAGTGCAGGGGAAGGGGCAGGGTTGCCCCGCATTTTTGAGGGTATATCCTTCTGCTGTAGTTTTGATAGAATTTAAGAGGCTTTGTCACTTTTCGTAGACGATATATATGTACAAGATGAGAATGTATGTGTACAAGATAAACAAAATCTTTGTATTGAATGTACTTTAAGCTTCAAATTACTCAATATCGTAATGCTGATAATGGTTCAATTATTGACGATGGTTAGCACGTTATAATCTAAAAATTACATAAGAAACTAAACCATGCATCTATTCTTTCACAATAATAAGCATTTCGAGCCTGATTGAACATTTTTATTTGAGTTCGGTTAGATTTTAAGATGATTAGAAATCATTTTAAAAATAATTAATTATGCTATCGACACTCGGCAGTTTTTGATATACTGCCAAATCCCGGCGACTTACGTAGTCTTTTTTATTAACAGTCAATGCTCCGCTTAATAGGTTAACCGTCTTTGAGACTTGTTTTGTTCTTTATGATCACTGAGCCCGACTGCCAAAAATAAATTGCCTACCTCACTTTCGTCATGGGCCTGGAGCTTGAAGGCCCACGTTGGAATATGGACTAACAATATGTGAAGGTTTGACATCTTATTACTATGCTTACTATTGATGCAATAGCTACCTCGATTATACAGCTGAAAGTTTAAGAAATTAAACTTTTTGAAATTTAAAATTAAAAAGAAATTAAATCGAAAGTATTACTATTCATCCCAAATTACTGCTTTCTATCAAATGAACGGTATCGTTACACAGTTACACGGTATCATTTTAATATTATTTGCAAAGTTAGTGAATTCGGAAAGGGGAAAGCATTTCTCAATAATAAATTTATTTACACGCAAATCATATTTGTGAAAAAGTAAATATCTCTCATGGATATTAGCAATACATTCTGTAATAATTGGAGTATTTGTCTTCACATTGATTGAAGGTTAATTAATAATTTTTACCATATTGTTTCATCTCACTTTTAATCTGATATCATAATCTGGCTAAACTTTAGTCAATAAAGCTGTTTTAATTCTTATTAATACAGAAAATATTTGTCTAAGTCTTTGATCCGACAAGTCGTGCCTAGACCCTCAGGTATTTAGAGCTCCCTGCTAATTTGTAGTACACTATTATACTGTAAACACTTTTTAACAGTTTGAAATTTAAATACATATATAGAACGATGAAGCCCGATCGATCTGACACTGAATTAAACGGAGATAAAATTTCATTGCAAGACCCGTACATAAATCACAATTATTTATAGAATTGATAATATAACAACGATAAAATCGAGTAAAGCCCAATCAAATCATTTTTTTTAATTGCGATTTATTTCAGAAATTAATGTGAAATTTAGACACATAAAGCCATTAGAATTTATGCATGTTAACATTATTTAATTTAACTGAAATTGAATGTGTAATTCAAAATTAAGTGAAATTCTTCATTCTGGAATTTTAGCTGATCATTTAATCGGCAAACCCAAATATCTGAGGTTTTTGATACGGTTCCAGATTGAAATAAAGCCTGACCTTATGTCGTGCACATTGGGATTTAATCAAACAGTTTAACAAATACTTAAAGCTGTTGTACATTACCCGACTAACAAATCTACATAATTTATAACTAGTTATATGCAATTCGTCAGTTCCATTAAGGCCTAAACGACATGCAAACGCCAATTTGGACTTTGATTAATTCTAGAAATGTCTAAAGAATTTGACAGCGAGTTGTATATACTTTCAGCGAGTTGTTTATACTTTCAGCATTATCAAAGTTAAGAAATGCCGAGGTCTAAAGAGTCGTTGAACTTTCTTCTGGTGTCATCTCTTCTCCATGTAGCATCCCAGGTTCTCATTAAGACTGTCAAGACTGTCACCGCCCGCCTCAACACGTCTTTAGAACAGCTCCTTAATCTGCACCGACATGGCTTCTTCCACTCCAAAAAAACCAAGGAGTGCTGCAAGTGTGATCAAGGATTCAGGAACTCCTCGTCCATCCTGACCCTGGCAGAATGGAATCGACTGTTCCAGAAGACGGACGAAGATTGCGAGCGAGCATCACAAGCAGAATGCAGTTGTTGTTACCAAGCTAACAACGACATTGACCCTGACTGTTTCACTATCAACATATCAACGTGCATTCTTGAAAGATCGGTTGCTTTAGAAGAAAACGAACTTAGAAACATTCAGCAGATTCGGGATGCCAACAGAAAGCTTGTAGACAGGAGAGAAGAGGCGACATTGTCAGAAGAAGAGTTCACCTCTTTGTCCAGTGACCTCACCAAAGTCCTCCATGACATGAGTAAGAGACATGGAGATGATTATTATAACGACATAGTGGAGAGTATTCAAAGAATCGACAACAATGAACCCAATGACGAGGAGGCCAAAAGGATTCTGGAGAGGTTTGATCAGGATAATCAGGTAGGCGATGGTATTCATTCCTAAACCAAGAGAAACGATGTGATAGTTTCTGGTATAGTTGAGAAATCTATATAAAACTCACAGTAATTGTTGGTTTTGGTTGTGAATTAGGTTCCTCCGATATCAGAGGATAAGAGAGAAATACTTCGTCAGCTGGAGTATCAGAGAGATGACTCCACAAGGTCTGACGTCTCCGTGTGTGGTTCTGACGTAGAGGACCTACCAGACGATATTGGTGAACAAGACCCGCTAGTACAAGCTGAAAGTCAGATCCCCAAAAATGAGGACGACAGTTCCGTAGATTTGGGAGATAGCGATTTTGACGGTGAGTCTTATCATGTCTTCTGTGTAGAGTAGTATTTTATACTAAACTGTTAGCTCAAAGAGACGGTTCAGGGTTCAGATACCACTTTGAAAAGACCTATTCTTTTTTAAATCGTTTAAATCAATCTTTTTATTAAAAAGTTTTGCACATATGTGTTTTGCACATAACATTATTCCTTTTTTCTAGTCTACAAGTTTACCAACTGAAAATAGTTAGATTTATAGTTCTAATGCCCTTCTAGTTATTAAACCTTCTACTAGATGAAAAATGTAGCAAATCGAAAACATTCAAATTTTGAGCAGATGAAGACGAAGAAAAGGAATATGGAACACTTCTCAGGAGGATGAAGGAGAAATTTGACTACCTCAGTGAAAAATGTCTAACTGTAGGGAAGGAACTGAGTAATGTTCGTCTACGAATGGGAGGCTCCTGGACAGTTCCTGAAAGTAAAGCTCAACCAGAGGAAGTCCTTAGACAAGAGGTGATTACACTTGTCACCAACAATTAAATTTTAATTCATAAAAAATAATTAAAATCATATTTTTGAAAATTTCTACTGCTCGAAAAAATTCAAATCTAACAGGAATATTAAAGGAAAATTAATTGGTACCAGACCACATATTTTATAAGTCATGGTGTCTCTTAGTCTCTGCATATTTGTAAAACATTCTTTGGCAAACAAATGTCTTAAAAAACATTTCTAGATTTCAATCATAACTCCTTGAATTGTTCTCAAAAATATCAGCAAGAGAGAATCTTTTGTTAAATAATAAACATGTAAATACCCTTTTAGCTGAGAGAGATTGAAATGATGAGGAAATTTATCGACAATGATTTGGATGATGATGTACGTAAAATATACCTACCTTATGAAGATTTCCATATCACCAAGAGTCCTGGAGTAAGTCTGGACCCTGCATTCATCAAGGTACTTGTTTGATGTTTCTTTATTCAGTCTATGAATTTCAAATCACAGCTTTAATCACCGCCATTTGTGTTTTCTCAGCCAACATGTTACAGACAGGAGCGAGTGCTACCTCCAGCCCGTCCCACCTTTGTGACGTATGCTCAAAGCCAGATGAACAGAAAGAAATTCTCTAATGGTCTTTCCTCGATCAGCAACATGTTCAGGAGAAACCTGCATGTGGCTAATGACTGGACACTGGACCCAATTCCTCGGAAGTATGACCAGGGAATCTCATTGAAATCATCAACTGATGATATCAAGCCAAAGTCCTTTCCAGTAGACAGCTCCATTTCCAGTTCTGGAAATGAAAAGGAGGACACATCATCGGCTTATAAAGAGAATAACTTTCTGGGAAATACTCGAATTCCTACAGCTGTTTTTAAAATAGATTATGCCAAATATGAAAAATGCATAAAGGATTCAGAGAAAGCTTTGGTAGACACCCATATAACAGGAAAAGGTAGGTGAATATCGTGCTTAGGTTTGCAGAAATCATATAACTTACATGTTCAAGTAATATTTGGAGGTATCTTCTTTCAGACGCTGGGAGTATTCTCTGTGAAAGACAACATGGGCACTACCTGCGTATGTGTGAGCAGCAATCAAATGATCTCATGAGAAAAACGGAAAATTTAAAGCAAGATATTCAGCGACTCAGGTCAAGATTTGACAGTTGCGAGCAGCTGTTTTCTGAAAACTTAAAGATATATCAAACTGTAAGATGATAATTTTAATTGAATGTTGTATTGAAAATAGAAATGGTTTTTTTTTTCAAATAATCTTATTCATTACGTAAAATCAGTAGTCATGTTATACCGTATTTGTAGATGCCACTTTGTCAGGATATGGTGGATAGTGAGGTTAAAACCCTCCCTGTAACTTCGTCATTTAATGACACGTCACGGTCGCCTGTACTTCCAATGAAATATCAGACTTCCACTCCAAGATTGACAGGCAAGCCAATCACTGCAGGAACAAGGTGGAATGAGTTGGCTCTGAACTTAGACGTTGGATCTCTAGCGTCAGATGATGAAGGTAAATTGAAATCAATATGAGAGGCTATCTAATCTGTGGTTCCATTTGTATTGTACATGTATGTTTCCTCGCAGAATCAGTTCTGGAGAAAAGGCACGGCGACTCCCTGAGAAAGTTACATGCTGAGTGTGAAAGCCTGAAACAAAGGTGTACTCGATCAAAGAGGAATCTACAGGAAGCACGTGAACAAATGACTAATTCTTCATCACACTTGGACTTGTGGGAAAATTCTCACTACGTATCTAATTCTAAAGACGACGTAAGTTAAATATTTGAACTTAATACATATTTACTTCTTGAGATAACCCTTTTTTTATCTTCTATGAAACTTTCCCCCTCTTTCTTTTTCAGTTAGTCGGACTGGATAATGAATTAAGCGACATAAAGTGGAAGCCCGACACTTTGAATGAGTCTTATGATTCGGCATACAATACTTTGGCCAGTGGAAGATCCACGGGGTATAGCATAAAAAGTCGTCCTACCTCTTCCCGATCTCCATACACAGACATCAACATACCTTCTGTTACCTCACTGGCCACACCTAGGAGACAGGAGGAGGAGGTCTCACCGGCGTACACCCCCCGGTCCATGTATTCACCGGGGTACGAAAGCGGTGACGAGGAACCCGTACAAAATTACTACACTCCAACCAAGATTACAATTCCAAAACATCTTGAGAGGAAGTCTCCAGTTCTAGTAGGACTGCAGTTGTTTCTTTACATTCTTTCAATTGCTATAAACAAAAATCCAAAGCAGATTAAAGATAAAATAGTTCAAAATTACGTATATTAAAATAATTCATGGTCTTTTTTTCCAGAAGATGCCAATACTCCAAAGGACACCAAACTATTCCCCAGTTAATTATGACAAGGAGGAATTCGAAGGGGACGAGGAAGATTTTATTCAAGATGGTTCGTATTTCATCTGATATTTTATACAGTTGTTACAGCATACGTTTTAATCTAAATTTTACTAAGAAGTTCTTCGTTTATCTGTTCAATACATAAAATTTACGGCGGTTGTGACCAATTCACAAGGGATGCTTATTCCTCCGAGGCAGCTGATCCCTATTCGCATGTTTGCCCTGTTGATTATTTGTTTTGTTTAAACTGTGTTCCAGAGATTGTAACACTATTCGATGACTTCATCTTAAACATTTGTTTTATATTTTGTATAAAACATGCTTACATTTTTAACTTTTTTGCTGTAATTAACAAGCATGAAATGAATTTCTATTTTTAAAACTTTCAGAAGAACTAGAGATGGAAAATCAATATGGAGAGTTCCTTGATCAATGCAAGTCTAACTTCTTGGCCATCAGTGCTAAAAGTTTGGAGTTAAAACAGGAAATCCGTCGTCTACGCTTTGATATGGGCTTACCATTAAACAAGAAACAAGAGTCAAAGGTCTGCATTCTCCAAATGCTTGTAAATTTACATCATTCGGCATTGAAGAGACCAAATTCATTTACAAGGGTATAGCTTAACGTACAATTCGGTATATGTGGTAGATTTAATTCATTGTTTTGTCTGCCTTTTTAGTTATCCCCGGTGCCAGAAAGGCGTTTGAATATGAAGTACAATCTGAGAATCCCCAGGATAGACATTAGTTTGGAGAACCGGGCTAATAAGGTACACCAATGCTCACATTAATTTTGCTTGATTTTTTTTGTATATTTTGAATCATTCTAATCGGAGTAATGCTGAATTTTTGATTTAGGTGTCAACGTATAGTGCAACTGAGAAACACCAAGAAAATTGGGCATATACAGATTCATATGAAGAAAACGACTACGAACCGAGCATTAGTGCTTTTGAAAAGGGTATCAAACTAATACACACTATTTTACTTCATTTAAAAAACATACAAGAGTATTAAAAAATAATGTACATTATGATTAATTTAGAGTTATCGGTAGCAGAGGAAAGCTATGGAACTTTTCTATCAAGCATGAAATCCAATTTTGACACCTTGAACGAAAGAAGCATGCGCACAAAAGAAGAGCTCCGGGCTCTTCGTAGGAACATGCGCACGCCGACAATGTACGGAAGTGGAGCCTGCGGAGGACAAGTATGAAATAGGCGTAGAAAATGAAGATGTGAAAACATTTTGTCTAGTAATAATGCTTTTAAAGCTTATCATTTGACAAAAATGATGGAATATTCGAAAATCAAATACTTTTTAACAATAGTATGCAATGAATATTATACACAAGTTACTAAGACATTCCATTGAATAGTTTTAATCTTAAATGGCAAGATAATAAACATTTTCGATAAAGCAAAGTAAATAACTTTTTCTTTGTATTACTTAGACTGTGTATGTATAATGCTGGAATTAACTGTAGTAAAATGTCAAATTGAATTCTTTAGGTATACAACCAACCCTACTTTAGTATGCCAATGGAATTAAGTAGTTACTGAGGCCGTGTGAGCTACAGAACTCTGATCAGCTGATGAACTAACGATTTTGGTGTGAACAATTTGAAATGTGAACTCAAAATGATAACCTTTAATTGAGAAACGTTATGGTAATGAAGTTCGATTTCATATGTGATTATTTCTTCTTCAAACATGTAAACAAGACAAATTTTGTATTTCTTTTACTTTGCGTGTGTGTGCTTTTTAATAGACTTGGTGATGGGTTAATTACTTATTTTTTCCCACATAACCTAAATAATTTCGAAAATTGTGGGAAAATTTTTCGAAATGAACCAAATTCCAAGTTCTTAGAACAAAACTGTGAAATAAATCACTTTATATATTGCAATGACCATATGCAGACTTAAGAATCATTGGTCTAGAGCTAATATAATTTGTGTATCAAAATTAAAGATTTTTAAACATTGTTCTTTCATAGTACTTAATGTAGACTTGATTTTTTTTTTCAAATAAAGGTTATGAAAAACCAAAATTCTTCGGGTTTTTTTTTTTGGTTAAACTACTTTGTGATATCAATAATTATAACAACGCTGCTACGTTCCACGAAAGAGGCAAACTTCTGCAAAGCTCTGTAATAGTACACATTTTAATGTTAAAAATCTTCCAAGAGAATACCTAATTTTCACATTTACTTATCTTTGTCCTGCTCATTTTCTTCTTTATTAAAACATTCAATTTACCAGTTTGGTTCGAATCTCTTTGTTGGTATAAAATATCCTGTTACAGTCTTTCCACCTCCTCCTATATTGGGTAAGTCTCGTTCGAATCCCTGTCTGGTCCGCTGCATTTTCTCCACTCCCGTTACATTTGGTGCCGTGCCATGCCCTGGAATTGACAGGTGAGAGACCTGCCTGGGATAAGCCTGGGTTGGGGTCTTTGGAGGGTTAAAGAACTTTAAGGAGGGCGGAATGTGGCGGTCAGCCGGGTTCGATCGCCGGTGGCCAGATCGATAGCTCAGTTTTTTTTTTTTTTTTTTTTTATTTATATTTTTTCTCATAATAAACAAAGAGATAGATGAACATATTTACATTTATGCCTTACACACAAACACACTCACCCTTTCACACTATCCACTATCCATCTATAGATAATATTAAAAAATAGAGATAAAAAAAAGATAATAAATGTAAATTCAATTCGTCACTATTTCCTCCAACACCTTATAACATTGTGCATAAATTATTTGAATTATACTTATTTCTTTTATCAATATGCAGATAAAAAAGAAAAGAAAAGACAGCAACAATAGTGATCAATGCCATCTGAACTGTCACTCCTCAAAAACAGGTTTCCATGTAGACCATATATAATTAAAATACACAATTTTATTCTTTTGGATTGAAACAAATTTTTCAACATTATATTTGATTTTTAGATGACATAAGAGTGCACTGAGATTTGGCATTTTCTTCTGCATCAAACAAGTAAAGATATATTGTTTAGTGTATAATATAATAAAATTCACAGCTCTATTATTTTTTGACAAAGGAATCTCTCCTAATATAACATTATTAATGTTAAATCCGACCCTTTTTGAAGTAGCTCTATATATATGTTGGCTAAGACTACTCCACAATGCCAAAATATTATTACAAAATAAAAATACATGTTGGATTGTTTCACTTTCATTCTTACAAAAGGTACACAAATCAGTAGTTTTTATATTAATCTTTTTAAGATAGTAACCTACAGGAAGAATCCTATGCAGTATTCTAAACTGCAGCCATTGAACAGCTGTATCACTTGTTACTTTAAAACAAACTTTAAAAACATCATGTATTTCAAAATTACACTGCCCATAGACACTCAAAATGGAAATCCATTTTGATATAGATGTAGGTTTAACATTATTTGTGTTTAATATGGAGTAAATTGGCTTAGTGCATTTTTCTGACTGTAACAACAATTCATAATAAAAGGGCATAAGTGTATTGTAAGATTTTGTGAATAAGTGGTTGTCAATAGACATACATTTCAAATATTTTGATACTGCAGTAAGAACACTATTATATTGCATAATCTGCTTATTTGTATCCGTTTGTGAGAGGCAAAATCTTTTTTGTAAAGAATCAAAGCATAAAAATTTTCCTTCGCTATCTAAAAAATCTCCTATTACTCTGATACCCTTCTCATACCAATTTTTGATAAAAACAGACCGTTTGCCAACCAAGATATTAGAATTGTACCACACTGGGATATTTAAAAAATTACTTTTTACATGTTTACAATTATTTAAACACTTCATGACTTCCAGCCATGATTTTAATACATCTTGCCAGAAAAAATTGTTTTTAGGAAGTAAATGCTCTGAAATAAACAGATCCCCAAAATGAAATAACTTCTCAATAACATCTTTTCCATTTAATGCAAAAAAGAAATCCATCCATGGCTTTTGTTTTTGAGTTAACCTTTTCATCCAAGAAGATTTTAAAGCAATTATAAAAATGTCTAAGTTGACCATTTTTAAACCTCCAGAAAGATAGTCTTGTGTGACAAGGGATCGCTTTATCTTATCAGATTTGGACTTCCATATAAATTCAAAAATATCTTTTTGCAAATCAACTAAAAGCTGTTTTCTAGGAGATGGCAAAGAAATAAATAAATGATTAAGCTTAGGTAGGATAAGCGTCTTAACAACGGTTATGCGACCAATTGGAGTTAGGATTCTTCGCTTCCATTGTTTAATCAAAGCTCTTATTTTAGGTAGTTGTAAGTCATAATTAATATCAACAGTTTCTTTAAGATGAACTGAGAACTGAATTCCTAGTAAGTTGAAAGTTGTAGTTCCCCATTCTAGTTTCCACCTTGTGTGATGGAAAACTTCTTTTGAATACTTTTTTGATCCAATCCACACTATTTTAGTTTTTGATATGTTAATTTTCAATCCTGAAAGTTTTGAATAAAAATCAATGGTATCAAGAGCAGCAAAAAGGGATTTTTGTGAACCATCTAAAGCAAGAAAAGTGTCATCAGCATACTGAGATAATTTATGTTCTTTATTATCTACCACAATACCTTTAACGTCCTTATTCTGTTTAATTAGAATTGCCAGAATTTCTGCACATAGAATAAATAAATATGGAGAAACAGGGTCACCTTGTCTGCAACCTCTTTGTATATCAAACTGATCAGATAAAAATCCACTTTGTAAAATAGAAGCTTTAAAATTAAAATTTAGAATCTTGACCCAATTTATAATCTTTGAACCAAAACCAAAATACTTCAAAACTTTATATGTAAATGTCCATGAAATTGAATCAAAGGCTTTTTCGAAGTCAATCAAAACTAATAGACCTGGGATGCTTTTGGAATCTGTGTAGTGGATTAAGTCATACATGAATCTTGTATTTTCACCTATATACCTCCCTTTCATAAATCCTGATTGAGTATCTGATATTAAATGATCTAATGTTGTTTTAATTCTTTGTGCGAGACATCCTGATATTATTTTATATAAAACATTTAGAAGTGTTATTGGGCGCCAATTTTTTAGAAACTGTCTAGGTTTATCACCTTTTGGAATACATGAAATTATACCTAATCTTTGTGATATTGGGAGCTCGTTATTTATAAAAATACATTTAATTGCCTTAAGTAAATAAGCCTTTAAATCATTCCAAAAGAATTTAAAAAATTCAACCGTGTAACCATCACTACCTGGAGATTTGTTATTTTTCATATTTTTAAGCACTTCTGCTACTTCCTTTTCATTAATATCACACTCAAGTTTCTCAGATGTATGCTTATCTAACTTTGGGACATCTTGTCCTTGAATAATTTCTTCTAAATTAATATCAAAGAGCTCAGAATCTGAACTTGTATATAAATTCTTATAGAATAATTTCACATGATTTAAGATCTCTGCCTGATTATATATTGTACCCTCACTCTCTACTTCTACCTTTTTAATAGTTTTATTTAAAAAATTCCTGGCTTCTAAATTACAAAAATACTTTGTCGGTTTTTCCCCTTCTTCAATCCATCGAGCTCGTGATCTTATGATATGCCCCTGCAATTTTTCTTTTCTCAAATTTTCAAGACTCAGCTTTTTTTCTTCTAAAAGTTCAAAATTAATTTCTGTCATTGTTTCTAAATGTTCAATTTCCTCTAGTAATAATTTTTCTGAATTTTGTCTTTCTTTTTTTCTGAAAGATGAATAAGAAATAGTAACCCCTCGAATTTCCATCAAAAGAACTTCAAAAAACAGACTGTCGTCAATTTGAACATTACATTGATTACCGTCATTATTTGGAACATGTAAATATTGGGCAACTACCTTTTCTATAGTTTCTTTTACTTTTCCAACATATGTTTTATCTGTTAATAAGCTGTTATTGAATTTCCATAGACCTCGCCCTCTTTCAAAAGAATTAAATTTTAATTCCATTATAACTGAAGAATGGTCAGACCTGTAACCAGGTTTAATAACAAAGTTTTCAACCAAATTTGAAAGACTTTCTGAAATAAGAATATAGTCAAGGCGACCTTGTTTTAATGGATTTTTTTTCAACCAGGTATATATTTTTTTGTCTGGGTTTAAAATTCTATAGTAGTCAATTAACTGAATATCTTCCATAATCTCTAATAGTTTCTCACGTGCTTTTGGGTTACTGACACTACGATAATTGAAAGTATCTAAAGAAGGGTTTAAAGCAAGATTAAAGTCACCACAAAGTAACAGATATTCATTATCAAATTCAAGAAAAGTTTCTCTAACTATATCATAAAATTCTGGATTATCAGAATTAGGACCATATATGTTTATGATAGTAGTTCTATTATCTTCAATTGTAATGTCTAATGCCAGCATATTCCCACTATTATCCCATTTTATACTGTGTATTTCAAATTCAAAATTATTATTAAACATTATAGCAACCCCTCTTGCATTAGATTTAAAAGAATTAAATATACATTTGAAACCCCACTGTGCTTCAACATATGGTTCAATTTCTGTAGTAAAATGAGTATCTTGCAGACATATAATTGAATATCCTTTTTTTCTGTAAAAATTTAAAACATCTAGTCGTTTTGATGGTGTTGCAAGGCCCTGACAGTTCACTGTAACAACTTTTATATTATCTGACATTAAATCTGATACAAAATAAAAGAATAATACTTAGACAAAAAAGCGGATGACGATTGAAGTATATAGTTTTTGGAGAAATAAGCAACAAAACAAAAGAAAAGTGGATAATCTTCACACACATACCATGTCACACACTTTCGCATTCTCTCGCTTCAATCAATCCCGATCACAAAGTTTACTGCTTCCCGATCCCGATCTTAAAAGTTTTTCGTGCTCCAGCTGTTTATGCATAAATCGTGCTATTTGTGTTTAAGTTTGTCAGACACACTGTCCAGGATGTCAAATCGGTGTCTGTCTCCATCGTAGTCCAACGCAAACACTTTGCCATTAAAGTACCAAGCACTTTTAATACGCTCGTCCTCGTTCAAGTCTTTTATAAGTTTGGCATTCATAGGAGTTACGTGATCGTGCATCACAAAGCGCTTCTTCAACTCCGCATTTGAGCGATTCTTTATGACCATCACTTTCGTCTCGGTATTTCTAAATTTGGCGATGACTGGCCGTGGTCCGACATTACCACCCGATCCTGGGACTCTGTGTATGGCCAGTATATCTGTTGGTTGTAGATCAACGTTGACTGTCTCCTTCAAGATTGCACAGAGCTCTGCACGCAGATTTTCGTTTTCTTGCTCATTCCATTTGGTGAACTTAATATTGTCCTTTTGCGAATACTGCTGATTGCTGTTTGCTAAAGTAACTGCTGTTTCAGTCAAATATTGATAGCGTTTCAAATGTTCTTTTAGGGCCCTGAGTTCTTTTGCTTGCTCGTGAAACTTTTCTTTCAGTGTTTCAAACTCTAAATTAAACCCCTCTGAGATATCTTTAGTCTGATCTTGAAACTCCTTTGTTTTTTTGTCTATCTTTTCCCCGAATTCTTTCTTTACCTGCTCCGTCACGCTCTGTTTAACTTCAGGTATGAGTGACTCTTTGACTTCAGCGAGGATTTCATTTTTTAGTTCACCCTTTAATTCGGTAACGATTGAAGTAACCATTCCTTTTACATCATCTTTACTGACCATAATTCGTTTTATCTCCGATATGCCTTCTTGTATAAGACTAAGATCACCCAATGCACTATTGACACCACTTGTTGACTCGTAATCAGAACTGCTACTTCTTTGTTTTTTTGCGGCATTTTTTCCTGACACTACCGTATTTTTAATTGAAGCAGGAATTGACAGGAATTGACTGGAGGTTCAATTGCACCAACTTTCTGTCTGGAGTATTCTTGTCACCCTTAGCCTTTTTATCGATTCCCCCACTCTCTGATTTTTTACCATCTTTCTGCGTTGACATTGTTGACATTGTGAGTAGCTACTCACGGTACATAAGGTGTTGGAAAAATCACTGTTTCTTCACAACAAAAGTTTACAACTTTCAAATAAAGTTACTTGTACTTGTTATTAAACCAGCTGGACAGTTTTGAACTGTTTTTAAGATCTCACACGATTAAAAGGACAAAATAAAGGGAAAAACAGCGGAGCTGGAAAAAAACACTTACGCTCGGCTCATCACGTGACCGCCCAAAGAAAGGTCTTGTCACAAGGAATACACATGAAACGTAATCGATCGATAGCTCAGTTGGTAGAGCACCTGATCGGAGTTTCAGGGGGCCCGGGTTCGATTCCCGGTCTGGTCCGCTGCATTTTCTCCTCTCCCGTTACAAATGCTTACTGTGATTCAAATCTTTCTCCAGGCTTCATCTTAAAGCAATCATGAATATGATAAGCATTGCTTATCTGTTTGATCAGTGGACTCACATGACTCAGTGGTCAAAAGTGTTTGGTTCAAATCTCTTTGTTGGTATAAAATATCGGCCATTACATCCTGTTACAGTATTTCCACCTCCCCCTGTATTGGGTCAGTCTTGTCAGGGACCACCTTTACTTTATGGTAATCTTATTTTAAATTTCCTTCTCCATGTTGCCCCAAGTCTCCCTATTTTTTTCTCTTTTCATCTGGATTCCAGTGGTATGTCGTTCTTGTGACTGGTCGTGGCTCTATCCGAAGCACATACCCTAAAAAAGTCTTATGTGTACAGTATGTCGATTATATATGTTGTAATCCCCAACTATACTGTATCATCATTAATCTTTTGTTAGTTGCTACTATCAATTCTGAAATTTATTCTTGTATGTTTCTCTTTACTTGTATGCCCTGATGGGCCCCAAATTAGTATTAATAAATCTTATCTTATACCCTATCCATCTCCTTCTTGTTATGATAATGTCCTCCTGTCTGTATCTAATTCTGAGCAGTTCGTCATTGGAGATCCCTTCTGGTCGGAATACTCTGAGAATTTTACGAAGGCATGTTGTGTAACATGAGCGCAGCTTGGTTAGATCAGCTTCTGTCATCCTCCAACATTTAGACACATACAGAACTATTAGATATGACGAATGAGCTTGATTTTGGTGCTTATTGCGGTGACCTTTACATGTTCTTCATGCTCCTGAAAACACTGCTGGTCTTTCCTAATTTGCCGTAGATATCTTCCTTTTTGCTACCTTGTTGCTTGATGATACTGTCGAGGTAGGTTTAATAGTCTGTTTGATGAAGGACTGTTTCATTCATCTTCACAGGGGCAGATGTATTAACATTTTGGGCCATTTCTGTCTTCTTTGTTTTGATTCTTCTCACCTGCTGTCCAAAGCTGTTTAGTCTCTTTGTCATTTCCTGCGTGTATGGGTTTTTATGTAACATCTGTCCTAAATTGTCTGCAAAGTCTAGCTCTTTCTCTATTTTCAGAAGAGGGTTCTTTGTAACTCCTAGTATCTTCTGTTGTTTTTCATAACTTCATCAATGATCAAGTTGAAAAAAAAAACTGCTTGTAATATCCTTGTCTGATGCCAGTCTTGACATCAAAGAAGATGTCACTACTCCCTATAATGCATCTGAAGTTGTTGTAAAAGCTCCTAATCAAATGCACCAGCTTCTCTGGAAGGACATACCGGTATCTTGTCATCTTCTCGAGTCTAGAAAATTCTAATAGAGTATATATATGCCCCTCAGTGCACTGCGCGATGATGTTACGGAGTGTGAAAATCCTCCTTCCTCCCTGAAGCCAGCTTGTTCTTTCCTCAATATCTTGTCCACAGCCCCTTGTATTCTCTTGATAATGATTTCAGCCAAGATCGTACTCGGCACAGATAGCAAGGTGATCCTTCTCCAGTTGTTAGTCGTTAAAGGTTCCTTTCTTTGGGATCTTGACTATTATTCCTTTGGTCCAATCAACAGGCACTTTCTCGCCCTCCCATGTAGCTAAGATATGTAAAATGGAAGCAGCTAGCACAATTATTCATCACGGTTGCCCTGGCCTGGTGACTTAGTTTTCCTGAGGATTTTGATAGCAATCCATTTTCTTCTTTCATTTGTGGCTCAACGTCTACATCCAAATCCTCTGCAGCCTCTGGAATATCGTCTGCTGAGAGTTGGTTGAGTACTGCTTGGAATTTCTTCTTTCTTTCTTGGTTGCCATAAATTTTCTGTGCTTGTCCTTTACAAACCCACCTGTCAATCCCTTGAACTTTCCAAATAGACGTTTAATGATCTTGTTAAGTTTCTCCAATTTGCTGACTCTTCTGCTTCTGTTGCCCTAAGCATTTGATGTTATCCTAGGACAAGGCACTATCCCGGTCCACCTAGCTACAATGGGTACTGGCTTACGCATGATAGGACTATTGTCCTATCCATATGGAGATAATGTCTATCTTCCAGAAACGGGGTAAAGAAACGCTACATGACTCTGAGAAGGATTTAACTTCACCCAAAAATCTGTGTGAAATACTGTGGTCTCGATGTTATATCTTTGATACTAATGCAGACTGGGTAGACAAAAATTGTCAAAATGAAGATATTCCTAGATTTATCAGTTTATATGTACATGCATAACGATTTGTTTGGCTTGCTGAAACTTTTGTGTCTCCAGACTTCATCCTGGTACAGAGCTTGAAGTTCTAATCTACTCCACAATATGTTGCTTGCGATTAAATTTACGTTCATCTGAAAATACACTTTTCTTCTGTCTAATGAACTCTCCTTTAAGTAGTCTCTATCTCCATGTAATTATATCTTTAGACTATATTTATAAAGGAAACACAATAATGTAGTTTTTCCTAGTACATCGTTCTACTGTTCTTTTTTGAGATTTAAAATGATTCTACATTAGATATAACGACGATGTATTGTCAATGGTTATTTCCATTCTTATGTCGATACAATATATCCCGCTGAGCTTGAAATTAAACATACCAGTTTTTGACATTATTTGATTCATATTTATACCGGTATATATATTACTTCAGACAGACGTCAGATCTACTCTACCAACAAAGGTTTATAATAAACGTGATTAAGTTTTCAATCGTCATGATCAATTTCCATTATGCAGCAATATACCTCCATCACTTGCCTACAAATATATCTCAGTTGTTCGATACGCAGGAGCATGCTCTACGTACGGCTAATTTCTAAACTAGCGGTTTGATGATCAAGACTCATTTCCATTGTTTACTTTATTTATTTCCCGGGCGACAATTGATGGTTACATCAATGTTTTCTTGTTTCTAAACTGAGGTAAGTTATCAGTCTCGTTTAAAGTCATCATTTTTCAAGTTCTATGGCAGATACAATGATCTTGTCAGCAAATAAATCTATCATTAAGTCAAATGCTGACTGTTTTTTTTTCTCATGCTAATTGTTAAACAATTATTTACACACAAAACTTTCACGGATTTTACCGATATTTCCCGATCATGACAAGAAGCACACGGCGGGTGTGACCGTTCTACAGGGGATGCTCTCTCATCCATGGCTCTTGATCCCACCCCTGATGTTTCAGAGGTCTCTGTTTGCTCTGCTCCTGCTTTTTATTTTTGAATGGACTTTTCAACTTGATTACTTTTCGTTATCTCCATCTATTTCATCCAGTTCTTTTAATACTGAGTTTATACCTATACATTATTTCTTCTGGAGAGAAGTAATATTATAAGTGAAATAATAAAGAATAAATAAATAAATTCTTCAGACTGGGATATTTTGCCCCAAGTATGGTTCATATTGGATTATTAGTTCTGGAGAAGTGAAAATATCAAAAGATTACAATGACAAGTCTCCTGACACTTCAAGATTAATAAAATTTACTCCAGAGCCCTTGGCTCAGTTGAGCAGGAAATCTTAAATGAACACTGTATCAGACAATTTAAGATGTACATGTAGAAACATTTTAGACACTGAAATGGCTAATATGTTCTGAAATTGTAAAAATACATAAAAATAGAAAAACACCACAGACATTGATTTTTGATCAGGAATTCAGGACTTTTCCAAAACAAAATAAAATTGTTCACAAATAAAGATGTCTATCCATTTAATAAAACATTTTTACAAAAACACATATAAAAACATATATTCACAACATTTGAAACAGTGATGCAATGTCTATTTAAAACTTTCACACAGTCTGTCACTTAAGTGTAAACATCTCAGCAGATGGTCCATTGTTTGACAATGACTCGCTGTGACCTCTCAGAATAACTCAGTATAACTTAGTACAATCTTTGCAGGCTCTGATCGAAACCCTCTTCGCTGTCCTGGTCACTCAGTATCCGGGGTTTAAATCCCTGTAGGGGGTTCGGGGCCCTGACCTCTGTCTTCGTCTGCCCCGCTAGACTCCCGCTCAGCGCCATCTGTTTCTCCAGGTCAGGGATAATGTCCTGATGGGAGGGGAGGGAACTCTTGTCCACCAGGAGGTATTTCCCACTTCTCCCGTTTGCTGCGTGGACACACTTAGCGATGTCCTGGGGCTGCATTCTGTGCTGAATGACGAGATATGACTGGCCCTCTAGCTGACGAATGTCGTGTCGCAGGTTCCCAGTTTTGGCCATGTTTCTTACCTCTTTGCTTTCATGCAAGGGCATTCCTTCAATAAAAAGGTTTAAATGATTTCATATTGTGGTAAACATTAAATAAACAAGAAATGTAATGCACATCACTACCTTACCTTTTTTTTAATGAATAAAATGTTCATTTTATAGAACTTTATGCCTCCATCCTACCTGGACCAAAAATAAGTTCCTCCATTGTGAATTGATCTTTGTATTCATTGATGATTTCTTCACACACTTTGAGGACCCATTTATTGGCCTCTTCTGGGATAGGGATGACGTTTCCCTCGTTGTCCAGGGAGGGTCTGAGTTCAGGGTCCGCCCCGTCCCCCTGTCTCTCCTGCAGAATCTTCGATTTACTGAGGATGTTGCTGTAGGCAATCCATAGCTTGCTGTCATCTCGTCTGGTCACCTACAGAAAACACAAAACTCTCAGTGCTACAACACAGAAATATTACAAAGGAAAACTAGATAGAAGTATTTCTGAATGCAGTACCAACCTTGATAACATCCTGAGACTCGTAAAGCTTAAACAAGGAATCAGCTGCTGCTAGATTTCTGGCATTGTTCTTACTCATGGCTTTAGCTTCACCAATTAGTGTTCCTTGTAGAGAGATATCACATCTGGAAATGTATATAGAAAATTGTTAATATGATGGATGCATTGCTAAAGAGTTCTGAGGTAAATAGATTTTATGTTTCATAAAAATTAAATACAAGAGCAATATCACATCTTTCAATGAGCCTTAAAATAATTGGACACATCATTCTGAGAAAATTTCAGAATTTTTTTTCAGCACATATTTAATATATTTATTTATTATCATTTGAAATAAATTTAAAGGATGTAAACTGGACTATCTGCACTAAGACAAATCCTCTATATACCCATATAAAATTTTACACTACTATGACTTTTTTCTCAACGTACGACAGGACAGACCAATCAGTAACTATTGGCTTAAGCGTATAAACATGATAAAATAGATATAATTTTTGTATAAATACCAACCTGCATTCTTTGATTACTGGCTAAGAAAAATGGATAAAGAAGCACACTTACTTGAACATGTTCCCTTCTTGAGTGGTGTTCCACTGCAGCAGCATGCCGTTAGAGGTGGCAGAGTAAGTGAGGATACAGAAGGCCTGCCTCTTCCTGTCCATTGTCCACTCCTCATGCTCCAGGATGACCAGGCTGTCCACTGTCTTAGAGGGGTCCTCATGGTCCTGGTTGTGTCTTTTAAGACCAGCCAGGTTGGAGTCTCCTTGTGGTTTCTGGGCACCTGTTGTAAGTCAATAAACTTTTACCCACATGGTTGAACCAAGTCCAATGTCTGAGACTTTTACATAATTTGTTTTATCTTTACTGTACAAGTACACTAAAGTATAAAGTTTTAAAACTTGTCCTGAATATGAATTTTGTTAAGATATCATAACAGAGGTCCACAACATACAAGTATTAAACAAAATTACAAATATGCATTCTACCTTTAACATAGACATCAATGATAGAGGTTCTATATTATTATATTTTCTACCTTTAACGTGGACATCAATGATGGAGGGGTCATCATTGTCATTGGTCAGTCGTTTGTGGTCCTTTACGACGTGTTCACCTGTGGTGGTAATTAACACCTCCCAGGCATTGTTATAGGCATCTATCTGGGACTCCTTCCTCTTCTCTCCCTCCCCCGAGGCAATCAGGAATTTCTCCAGGTAGAGGTCACAGGCCACCCTTGAGGGGTCTGCCTCGTCATCCCCCTGTAATCTACGGTAAATACAGGTCTTAGTCAGACCCAGATTTGTAGCGCAGGCATCCACTGTGTTGATATTGTTTTCTTTGTATACTGCGTCCTTTAGGCGTTGGATCATTTTGTCCATTTTCTCAGTGACAGACATTTTCTTTCCGTCTACAATCATGGCCACTCCTGACCCACTTGCTTCTTCTTCAGTCTTGGCCTCTTCCTCCACATCTATTCCCTTCATTACCTCCTGCAGTGGCTTTGTTGTCAAGTTTTTGAAGGCCTCCTCGTACGTGTTGACTTTGGCGTCTTTCTTCCTGTGGCCCTTACCGACAGCAATCACAATGTCCCCCACAGTCAATATCCCATGAAAGAAAAATCTGCAATTCAGATCGGTTCTTTTTTACAGCACATTTCAAAACATGTTTTGGTAACTAGTTTTTGTTTCCTTTTTGTAAAAACTTTAATTTTTCACATTTTTACTGTAAAGAATGAAAAACATATCTTAAAAGCTATGATTTATTTGTTTACCTTCCAGTTGGGAGTCTGGAGGCTTTGAAGTCATACTTGTGACTGAGAGCGCAGTGGGAGGCACTCATAGCCTGCTCCATACACGAGATCTTGTTCTCTGGCAGATTTCCCGCCGACTTTATGTACTCAATCAAACAAATAAAACCATCCTGATTGGTACGAATGGTCATCGCTTGTTCTGTCTGCTTCTGAAGAATCGTGTCGGCTTGTTTAGAGACATCTTTTTCTGTGTCTAATGTTGAGGCCAATTCTTTCCTAAACACAGAAAAAGAATTATCAATTTATATATATATTAATCCCTCATGTTTTTATTACGAGAAAATACATGCATTCTTTTTCTAATAACTTGCCTTATGGCTTCAGCTCCTGGGTCTGTAAGATTAAATATTTCAGCTACAGTTTTGGTTTTTAAAACATCCAGGGCTTTCTGGTAAGTCTCATGCTTAACTTCTTTTTTGTTAGCTCCCACACTGCGAGCTAGAAATATGCCCCCAAGGATAAGACGCCCTGTGAACATCCACTTCCCAGAGATTCTCATTAACTCCTCAACCTGCAATTCAACATGGGAACACTTCTAGTATACCGGTCCCCATAAATATGGCGCTAAAATAGCTGCCGCCGAAGGCGGTGTACAGTATATAGACGATCGCGTGAGCGATCGACAAAATCGAAAAAGAAGCCACAAATTGCAAATTTGACCTCAAATTCGTGTTCCTTGCGAAAAATTGGGTTTAAAAAACTGGTTTTTAAGTACCAGTCCACATAAAAATCAGACAAAGGGTGACATATGAGGGTTCTCAGAATTTGATGATTTTTCACTCATAGATTTATTTTGAAGTATGAACAATGTTTGTAAAATGAAAAATGTTTTGAGTCGTGGTAACCATGGAAACCCGGCCAAAGAAATTTCCTTAGCAACCGGCGGATTTTTCAGCGTTGAAGGACAAAAAATCACCTATATTTGAGGCTTAAAATAACACGTAAATTCCATGAGAATTATTCTTACTTATGGGTGTAATAAAGATACACATTTATTGTGTTCTAATAATGTAATAAAAAATATTTAGGTCTTAAGTCAGTTCTGTGGTAGACATTGGAAGGTACACATGTTTTACAAGTTTTGCTGATTCAGCATTTTTCGTGATTTTGGCAATATTCAAGGCCAAATTTTAAAAATGGCCCGATTAATACCGTTGTTGCATGTATCTCACATAAAAGCAGAGGTATTTCTCTTTTAGAATTTGAAGTCAAATCCATGGGCTCTTTTGAAAATCGAATCTGTTGCCTAGCAACAAAAATGGGCTTTTTGATGCATAAAATGAGAAACAATGTAAAAAGTTTACGGAAAAATCAAATGAACGGTTATTTACGATAAACGAGATACAATTTTTAAAATAGTATGATTAAATTCGGTCTCCCTAGCACATTATTGAATATTGCATAATTCTTTATCTCCATAGCAACGACAGGTTCTCCATAGCAACAAGGCAAAGAAAGGTAATTTTGGCGTGTATTCGTGTAATCTAAATATTAAGACTTATTCAAAATAAGTCAGAAAAATCCGGTTGAGCAAAATTGACAATGAAATGTTGGTTTTATTATTGTTATTTTTTTTTGGGTACTTAATCAATCCATATGGCAAGGATTCCGTGTACATGACAGCCAAAGTTCCTATGTCTCCTGTAAAACAGATTTGACTTTGGGATTGTATTGTTTGTCATGGAATTGGATATTCAAGTAATATGCTCATAATTGCATGGTGATAGTTCGGAAAGACTTTAAAATGTTGTATCAAGTTATTGAATATTGTTCAATGACTTATTTCCATAGCAACAACACCACTCCCCTAGCAACGACACAAAGAAAGTTTGACGCATATACATGTTACCTGTAAATCTTTATTTATATCACGTCATGAAGGAAAAAATGATGTTGAAATGTTTGTTTTTCGAAAGTATTTTTAAACTCATTTAATCCATAACAACTATTTGTAGCACATAGCAAACAATGTTACATTTTCAGTATGGGATACTCTGTAGTCGTTATTCATAATATTGAAAGATTAGGCACTCGTCACAGATTTCTCAGTAAGTATTACAATGTATGATTAATTCCTCATGAAAGTAAATAGATAAATAAAATGAATAACGTCACTATGGAAACATTTCCAATGATATTTCCAATTGAATAGGAAGATCAGGTTTTAATTATTCTATTGATACTTGTCATAGATTGGAGAGTTTTTTTTTTTCCAAACGAAAAGAACCGTTCGCGGTAGCTCAAAGGTAGCACCTACTGCGTCCCACAGTGGGATTCGAACCCGCGACGCAAGGATCAGCTCCTTACTTCGTGACTCTAGAGAAGACGCTCTAACCACTGCTCCATGAGGGCGACGCGGCACATTAAAATAAATCAAAATAAGAAAAGTCTCATCACAGTCAGTTACAGTTATTTACGTAAAATTGAAGTTTACACCATTTGAAAGAAATATTGCAAGATGTCCAAAGCTAGATCAAAATACAAATGAATTTAAAACATGGCTAGTCACACAAGTAGAAACTTTATTTTTGTATGTTGTTTGGTGAGATTTGCATTAATGTAGTGCAAATATATTTAAAAAATTATGCAAACGATAGTCAGAGGGTCATCTTCATGTATCCGGTTAGTTCATATCTTAAAATGGAAATATTATGCAACAAAAACAAAACAAAACTGAGGACATCGAACCCATCCATGTAACACGGGGCCCATGGGCCACATCGCTCACCTGAGCACTGTGGCTAGGAAAAATCAATTCAGTAAATGCCTAAGTGGTCCCGATCCTAAAAGAGGGGGGATGATTTGAACAAACTTGAATCTATGCATACTTGAATCTACACTAACTAAGAGTGCTTACATATTTTTTGACTAACTGTGGCTTTATTCCAAATAAGTTATGTACTTTTGTGGTCCCACCCAATCCTGGGGGTCATGATTTTAACAAATCTTTATCTAAACTACCTGAGGATGCTAACATTTGAACAAGACCAATCAAGATTTTTATATATTTTTCCTATATATTCCTATGTAAAACTTTGATTATCCATTGTGGCTGTACCCCTGGGGGTCATGATTTGAACAAACTTGAATCTACACTACCTTAGGATGCTTCCATATAAACATGACCAATCATGGCTTTGCTGTTATTAAGAAGATTTTTCCTATATATTCCTATGTAAAACGTTGGTCGTCCATTGTGGCCCCACCCTACCACCGTGGTCATGACTTGAATAAACTTGAATGTACACTACCTGAGGATGCTTCTACACAAATTTCATCTTTCCTGGCCCAAAGTTTTTACATTAATACCAGTAATTTATAATTGATATGGTGGCAAGAAGTATAAAATTCAAGTCCATCCCCCTCCCTTCCCCAAGTAAACTTTTGAGTGCTGAGCTGATTTGTTTTTACCTAGCCCATGTGCTCAGGTGGGCGATGTTGGAGGTTGTTCCCACTACTTTGATACGCGTTCCTATGGGCCTGTTCTCTGGGTAATAGCGTTTGAAGCTCCAGTGCTACAGACTCCTTGTGAACTAAATAAGTGTCAGCTTCCCAACAACAAGTTAAAGATACAAGCTTATAAATATCTTATCTTTTGAAAAATGGAAATTATCTCAAATGAACACAATATATGCTAGATAAACATTACCAGGGTTAAGGGTTTTATTAGGTGTACACAATTTTGTGAGCTTGCTCATTTCATATTCATGTTTTCTTTCACTGCATTTAATGTCCAGTATTTTGCATAGGGTTTCCGACATGCTTAAAATTTCAATTCGGACAATTTTATTTCATTTCCGACATTTTTTGTATTTCTTAGATATCTGCAGGATCCCTTTCTGAAAATTTTTTGCTTGCCAAACAGCTGGAAATAAAATTTTAAATAAATTTATTTCATGTTCAAAAAATAAAAACATATTTATAATTCAATACATACTTATACAATTATATTAATATCTTTCCCTGTGCTACATGTACAGGCGTAATTGTGATGTCTTCATATTAAAAACATTCTACTGTCTTTTAAGAATTCCTTCAACGATGATTTTTTTTACCTACGGCCGTGTAAGAAGCGAGGGGGGGGGGCTATTATGCCGATACTTAGCTATAGAATACTATTGAAAATCTTCCATTTTTTGGTTTGTTTGCCAAGGAATTTTCGGTTGTTGATAGTGCCCAAACTGAAAATATATGGTTGTAACCCCCACCCCACCCCACCCCACCCCCACCTCCACCCCCGAAATTGCTTACTAAGGGTCTGTGCATATATTTACCAGAAGTGGTTTCTGTATGCCTTTTAATTTCCATCCTTGCATATCTGAGTTCAAACTTAAAACTGCACTTTAAAAGAGAGATGTGCCTCTGAGAATTTCAGGTCACCCGAGTCTTTCAGGTGACCTATTGCTATCTTTGTTCGTTCATCGTCGTACGTCATTCGGCGGTCGTAAACATTTGAACATTTTTAGCTTCTTCTCTGGAACCACTGAACCAATTTCAACCAAATTTGAAATAACCCATCTATGGGTAAAAGAAGAACACAAATTGTGAATTTCAGGGTCCCTGTGGCCTGAGGGGTGGGACCAAAACCACTAAAATTAATGCAGTCTTTGAAAATCTTCTTTACTTCTAGACATCAAGCAGTGAAACTGTTGGAATGATTGTAATAAGCATTGAGTCCTCTACACTGTACCAAAATAGTAAAATTCTTTGCCCCAGGGTCAGGGGTTCTGTATGCTAGGGCTAGGCTAAATAGATTATATAGTGAAAATACATGTACATTATTTCTTTGAAAATCTTCTTCTCTGCTCCTGGGTAAAATTAATTAAGTACGTAGTTACGATGAGAAAGAATTTCTGTTCTACAGTAGTGAATTTCATGGCCTTTGGACAGGGGTTCTGGTGTTAGGACGGGGCTTAAATGAATATATAGTTAACATGCATTCATTCTTTGAAAAATACATAGTTATGATGAGGAAGGATGCCTCATCTAAAATCGTGAACTTCATGGCCCCAGGGTCAGGAATTCTGGTGTTAGGGTGCAGGACTCTTTTGATTACATAGTAAACATGCATTTTTAAAATGGAAAATCTCCTTCTCTGTCCCTGGGTATTAAACAACTAACTACATGCGTAGTTACAATGAGGGAGAGTGCCTCTTTGAAAATTGTGATTTTCATGGCCAAAGGATCAGATTGTGAATTTCATGGCGCAAGGACCAGGGTTTCTGGTGTTACTTAGGGTGGGGCTCTAATCATCAAATGGTGAAATTGCAATAATTCTTTGATAATTAATCTTCTTCTTTGCCCCCAGGTATTTAACAAACTGACTACAGACATATAGTTATTATATAGCTATGATAGTTCTTCCAGAACTAGGAATTCCAAGCCCCCCGGAACAGGGGTATCATAGAGGGCTGGGGTTGGGGGGGTGTCTTTGACTATATACTAGAAATGAATTATTTCTTTGAAATGCACTCCATGATGTTAATCAAACATTTATGATGAGCAAGAATTGTGAAATGTGTGAACCTGAGGGTCAGGGGTTCTTGTGGGGTGGGGACACTACTAAGTAATGCTGAATATTACTTAGAGTGGTTGAAATGCATTTTTTTTTATTCCTCTACTCTGTCTATGGTTAAAAAGTTACCAAACTACATAGGCGTCGGAACCGGGGGGGGGGGGGGGGGGGGGGGCTAGGGGCTTAGCCTTTTCCTAGTATTGACATTGAACATTGCTGCGTAGGTTTAGCCCCCCACTTTCCACAGACACGTTGCAGAATAGGTTTAAAATTATGAATTCGAAGTGGTGCTGTTTGGAAAAAATTTGGTACTGAATATCGAACCTAACCCCCCCCCCCATGTCATGGCCTTTGGTTTAGGCCTAAAACATAACCCAAAGTCAATTGCAAAACTCATTATTTTGGATTTCAATGATTTATTCATGATATATTCTGTAATATTTTTCATGAGTTAAGTCTTAAATCTTACCTACTTTCATTGCAGAAAAGTACTGCTTGAAAAATGTCAGAGATGAAAACTTTAAAATATCGGAAATGAAAACAGTTCCGGAAATAAAATGCAACCATTGAAACCATGCACGGTGAGTGTCTTGAAACTAATCCACAATATCGTACAAGTTACATTAAAACATTATCTATGGAAAACATCCTTAATTTGGTATCATATGATTTTTCCCTGTTCACACATACAAGAAATTTTGCCCCGTTTTAAATTCGCCCAGTCACAGTTCTGTTTAAGAATTTATACTGTGTTTTTTGAACTCGTCCCATTTTAAATTCAGTCACATGTAGTTGTTGCCATGACAACAACTGAGGGAACATTTCATATATTTTTTCAGCACTCTCCACAAATACAATCATCAACATATTAATTCAACATTCATTTCCATGACGAACACTGATCCAAAAGTCAAATCTCTTTACAGGAGGCATAGGGTACATTGGTTGCCATGCACTGGGAATTTTTGCCATGTGTTGATTAAAGACGATAAAAAAATTAAGATTGACCAACAGTTCATTGTCAGTTTTGCTCAATCACATTTTTCTGACTTAATTTGAATAAGCCTTAATAAGATTACACGAATACACGCCAAAATTACCTTTCTTTGCCTTGTTGCTATGGAGAACCTGCCGTTGCTATGGGGATAAAGAATTATGCAATATTCAATAATGTGCTAGGGAGACCGAATTTAATTATACTATTTTAAAATTTGTATCTCGTTTATCATAATTAACCGTTCATTTGATTTTTAAGTAAACTTTTTACATTGTTTCTCATTTTATGCATCAAAAAGACCATTTTTGTTGCTAGGCAACAGATTCGATTTTCAAAAGAGCCCATGGATTTGACTTCAAATTCTAAAAGAGAAATACATCTGCTTTTATTTGAGATACATGCAACAACTGTATTAATCTGGCCATTTTTAAAATTTGGCCTTGAATATTGCCAAAATCACGAAAAATGCTGAATCAGCAAAACTTGTAAAACGTGTACCTTCCAATGATTACCACAGGACTGACTTAGGATCTAAATATTTTTTATTACATTATTAGAACACAATAAATGTGTATCTTTATTACACCCATAAGTAAGAATAATTCTCATGGAATTTACGTGTTATTTTAAGCCTCAAATATAGGTGATTTTTTGTCCATCAACGCTGAAAAATCCGCCGGTTGCTAAGGAAATTTCTTTGGTCGGGTTTCCATGGTTACCATGACTCAAAACATTTTTCATTTTACATACATTGTTCATACTACAAAATAAATCTATGAGTGGAAAATCATCAAATTCTGAAAACCTTCATGTATCACTTTTTTACAGTTTTGTCTGATTTTTATGTGGACTGGTACTTAAGGCCATATAAAATTGAAATCTTGGTTCTCAGGCCCGCGCGCATCCGTTTTGAGGTAGCCGCATTGCCGATTTTATTGTGTTTTTGATAAAATAAAAAGTTGGTATTGCGGTGACCAATCCGGGAAAAAAAATTCCGACCTCATTTGTTTCGTAGTTTAGTATTCAAATATCACTTCCGGTAGCCATTTACAATGAGATTTTGGCTACTTCGTTTGAAAATACATTCGAGGACATTACCTACGATGTTTACACGCTGTTAAGCAATGGATAAAGCAGAAATTTTGACCAGAAATGGAAAGTATATCTGTGATTAAAAAAATTATCTTTATGTTAAAGAAAATTCGGAAATTAAAATAAAAAAAATACCTCCCTCATCTACTTTATTGCCAATAAAATGAAAAATAAAATGCCGCCCTCCCGCATCTGTTTTGGAGAAAATTGGCCTGAGAACCAGGGAATTAAATTTAGATAGCCTAAACACAGTTTTTTAAATGAGAATTAAAAGATTTCGTAAAATAACGTTCTTGTTTAGGAAGTAAATCTCCATCTTGCATTGTTTAGGAATGCAGTCACATGATCAATTTCTGACGTAATCTCATAAATATTCATGAGATGCGTCACTTGTGTTTTGACGTAATGAAGAAATGCCTGATAGGACTCAAAGTGCAATGCTATTAAAATTGTGTGATTTTTGTGAGAAATACAGGGATTTAACAAATGTTAGCTAATGATTAGTCATCGATGGATTGAATTGTGCATCATTATCGATTTGAAAGGAAAAATATTCTGAATATAAATTATTTGGACATGATTAGGAGGTCAGAATATCGAGCTGCAGTTAACGGTAAGTCGCTTTTACAATAACTTGCCTAAACTCAGCGCTGAAAATCGCCATGTTTCGACAATAGAGTTGATTTACTCGAACTTTCATTTCTTAAACTTTCCTTTGTAAAGCAAACATGTCATGAACTAAACCAAAGTGTAAGATATCAGCACGATTCGACAGGCTGATTCATGCAAGTTTTTGGTCACAAAAGGCACTCATAGTGCCTTTTGTAAGCAAAAATTACATAAATTAGCCCAAAGTCAGAAAGATTACAGACTGGATTTATAAAACAAACCCAATTTTAAAAACTATATAACCTAATCCTAAGGCCAGGTAAAATTAATCTTTAGATTCTCATCCTAATTTGCAAAAAAATTGGGGCGGGTGGGCGGATTTTATTTTTTATTTTTTATAATTGTTAATTTATATATAGGCCTAAGTATCAACAAAACAATGGACGCCCCGTACACATTTTTTTTCATTACCTTAATGCCAATATGAATAGATTTAATTCTTTTCATATTCTTTTAAATATTTAAAGAAATTTTTTTCTTTAAAAGTTAAATATTTATTGTTAATTAACAAATTATCAAGTACACATTAAACGGCACACCCTGAACAAAATGAGGTGGGGATACCAATAAATTGTGTATGTGTGACTTCTTATTTTGCAAAATCTATATAAATTTTCTAATAATTATTCTACTGAAAAATCTAGGCCTTCTCTTAAGTCTGTCTACGATTTTGTAGATTTTTTTTTATTTCAAAGCTAAGTCACACAGCTGGAGATCGTTTATATATCACTTGACTTTCCTCGTCTATTTTTACTTAGTTACAATCTCTCTACATACTTGCTCCTGCCAGTGATGGTATCTATATGTGTTTATGCTATTTTTTCTTCTCTGCCTTCTCTATACTGACAAATTATCTTTTCCTTACATGTTTAAACTGCTTTTATTGCCGATTTTTCTCCATTCTTCACATGGCGTTTTTGCTATAAATAGCGACACGCGACTTTTAATACAGACGGGAGATAACTCTTAAACTTTGACCCAAATTCTTACTGAATAAAAATACATGAAAATACCCAAAAATCAAAATAAAAAACATCGGGGCGGGACATTTTGAGAGGGGCGGGCGGGGATGAGAATCTAAAGATTAATTTTATATGGCCTAATCACTCGATCGAATGCGTTTTGTTGAAGCGAGTGGAAAATGGCGGTTTGTTTACATTCTGCATAGCAACGGCAAGGGAAATAACTGCTCATGCGCAATCGCGTGATTCTGGGGACCGCCATACTAGAAACTTTATAGACTAGGAAAAATAACTCTTCCATTTAAAATAAACAGTTATAAACTAGGAAAAATAACTCCTCCCTTTCAAATAAACCGAGGTTATAAATCTGGAATAATAAATCCTTGAAAAGGTGATATAAACCCCTTTGTCTGCAATTAAACAGAAGGTATTATTGTGGTAAAGTTTTGCCAAAAAACATGTTGATAGTATGAACCTGTTTTGGAAACAAAAATCAAAGAATTTAGTAGAGAGAACAATTTATAAGGCAGCTCTTTAATATCTTATATATCCTCATATTCAAAGACACATGTTCCTTCAATAAAACACTTTAACATGTCCTGACAGCTGATAACTACTAACCTCATATTGAGTTTTCAGGTTGAGCTTGCTTCCTGTAATGGCGTTTTCTATTGTCTGTATAGCGTTCACTTTCATTGGTTCTCCCTGGACGTACAGGGCAAATCTATGTATCTTCTCAGCTGTGGACATGTTGGCCGTATCAAACTGCTGGGTTGCAACCTACAATAGAATTATAAAGAAATAGTGTTTACAAAGGATACAGAATATCAGCTATAACATATAACCATAAATTCCAATGTACACATGAACTAACAGAGTATATGAATTCTCAGTTCAATGTTATGACGTGTTACATCATATGTTTTTAGATCTTTAAATCTCCATTATATACCCTGCTATTTTTTACGGCGGTAGAACTATACCTTAGACAGGCTGTGAACAGGAGCCATTGTGCCACCAAACTGTCCCCCTGACCCCCCTCTATTGCCCCGTCCTCGTCCCCCCCTCTTATTACCACTAAACACTTTATTAGGAGGTAGTCCTGGCTTTTTCTGAACATTACCTACAAGACACATTCCAAAAAATAATTCTTTTTAAACTTAATAAATAAACAAACATTGGTACCATTTTTTCTGAAAATAGGAGAAAATTGACAATTTAGTGGATGAAAGGAAGATAATTAGCTGCACAAATAATATACTACTGTTTTCAAACAAAAAGAAAGACAACTCCTTACCCCTGAAGTTGTTACCTCCCCTTCCTCTTCCTCCTCCCCCTCCTTCATTGTAGCCTGTTCCCCACTGTGGTTGATTGTAGTTATTTCCCCTGTCCTGACCTCCGCCCCTCCCACCTCCTCTTCCCTTGTTCTGGAACCCTCCCCCACCGCCCCCACCTCTCTGACCCCCTCCTCTTCCTCCTCTCTGCTGACCTCCTCCTCTACCTACGTAGAAATTAAAAGTTTTTTTTTTTTAAAGCATTTCTATATCAGTAAATTTCTTTCAGTACTTGTACTTCTAATCATTATATTTTGAAAATTATATTCATTTTTTAAATAAATGCCAGGTAACTGACCTTGACCTCGTTTGTTCTGACCCCGGCCCCCTCTCCCCCCATGGCCTCCTCTCTCCCCTTGGCCTCCCCCTCTTCCACCCCTGCCATACTGTGCTTGATTCTGATAACCTGGAGTCTGGTACACACCTGTACAGAATTTAAAGTGAAATCAAATATTTATTTTGAAATCAAATGTGAAAATTTATCCAAACATCATTTAATTCATTTATTATCAGTGTCCAGTTTTTCTGTCTGATAGATTTTCCATTATTATTATTTCTTTGTACATATAGCATATTTTAAAACTTGCCGCCGTGATTTCTCCTTCCTTTGCCTTCTAGAGGGATGTCTTCTGTGAAGTTTTCCGAGGCCTGGTTTATGGTGGCCGTAAATGATGTGGGGAGCCCCATGGAACTCATCATGTCGTCGGGAGGGGGTTGATGGTGAGGTGTTTCATGTGAAGATCCGTAACTAGCATCATAATCCGGCCACTGACCCCCATAACCATAATCATCTTGACTGATTAACAATTTTAATTCATTAAATAAAACATTAATAGATGGTTGTAATGACCATAATCATCTTGAATGATTAACACAATCTTAATCCATTAAATAAAACACTAATATATGGTTGTAATTACTAATCTTTATTTCTGTATAAAAACATTCAGTCAAGTGACACTTAGTATTCCTATGCGTGACCCACATACCCATAATCATTCTTCATGTAGGAAGTAGAGGGCGGTCCAAAACCCCCACCATTGTTATCCGTAGAGAATCCTGTCTCTGCGTAGCTCCGTTTTTTTCCCAGAGTGTTTCCCTCCGTGGAGCCAGCTCCCCAGTTCGACATCCCAGAGTTCCACATTTTCCCTTTCTCTAATTATAATCATACCATTTAACATGCACTTTTCCAAACACTTATAAAATTCATTATCATTTTAATCAATTATATGTATTTCAAATAAATAAAAAATAAAAAAAAAAAGAGACATTATACAGATTTTTACAAATCCTACAGACCTTGACATGATTAACATTATGTGATCTTCTCTCTTACCTTGAGCCAACAGTTTTCATTTTGAAAAGTCTGCAGGTGCTTGCTCAAATCCAGGAAATTCTCACTGCTATCCAAAGTATTAAAATTTTAATAGTTATATAAATATATTTTAGAATTATGGTAATTAAATCTGAATCTTATTCCCCAACACAAATGTTGGTCCTTTTTTTTTTACCTATTAGTTGTTGCATGGATTTTTGAGCAATGCCCTTGAACAACAACCAATAGAGTAAGTTTTTTTCAAGCTTTGAGACTTTCCCTGAAGATAAGATGGAGTCACGGGAAGTGTCTCCACCAACTTACCTGCATGGCAGTCAGAAAGTTACTTTGAATGGATTTTGAATGCACCCAGCCCATGTTTTTTATTCTGCACTATTCACACGATAAAATGTGCTAAGACGTGTAAAACCCTGTGACTAGCACATTACCTCTTTCACCTTTTACAAACCAGTTGAGAAATATCTCTTCAATGACCATATTAACAAAATGCTTTTCAAGAAGAAAGAGAATACAAATGTGAAAAAAATCAATTGTAATCCTTCACGATATAATTCTCTGTTCTTTCTTAGAAAAACATGTTGTAAAATCTTCCACATTTTTTTTTTTATTTTGGTCATTGAAGAAATATTTCATTTACAAGTTGTCATGTAGTTTCACCACTGAAGATTCATCTGATGGGATGCTTAATGAATATCTTATTTTGACCACAATATCCATTCAAGCATTCCATGTGTAGGCTGACTTAATCCAAGGCCATGACATGAGAGCATTCCAAAATGGAATTCTTTGCCTCAATGTCAGGACCAAGCATGCAATGGACTGAACCAGAGGAAATGATGTCCAATTACTTCTAGGGATCGGGCATAGAAATGTGTTGGCTGATTTACTCTGGTGCAGTTTATACCTTCAGCAAGCAGTTAAAGGAGTTGTCATGGAAATCATAAACAGTTCTTCCTTATCTGCATAACCTGTTAAACATCAAATTCATCTTCAACACTCACTGCATACAAAACATGGAAATGTGTAGTGAAAGAATAAAACAATTTTAACAAAATGAAAAATTCTGCACTACACTAGGTAAAAAATGGGATATTGGTCAATGAGAAAATGGCAAAAGATACTCATGTACATAAAACACTTTGAATTCTATCCCATAACGTGTCTATATCATGATTTCTTGCTGCCAGTTCTAAAAATTTCTTCAGGTTTTATTTTCAAAGATGCAAAAGTATGCAGCATTTTAGCATAGTGACATTTTTAGTGGCTATTATGTTATTATCCTTATATGAATGTGCTCCTATTATAAATAAATCATTGATAATATTTTGTGTTTTGTATGTATGCCTCATTTTAGAGTGAAAAGTTTGTTTTAGCCTTGATGTAGTCTATGTGTGTAGGGAATGATATTTTTTATAAATATCTGTATGTGCATTTTGAAAGAATTCCACACAAATTCTATTTGTATGGAATTGATTTCAAAAGTTCAACAAATATTCCATCTGTTTAAAAGAATAATTGAGCCACTTAATGTGAGCACTTGCCTCAAACACATCTTTGAACTTATCTGACATATTATTTATAAACATGCCTCAAGTAAATCTTGTTAGGTCTAAAATGTAAAAATGCTATCGCCATACTTAATAAATGGAGAAAACAATATTCAAGTAAGGTGTTTCCAGCAGGTATATGTATACAGAATATAGTTCACGGACAAAACAGAGACTTGTCACAATTATCAAAACTGTCAATCGTTAAATATTTTGCAACAACTGAATCGTTGCTTTCGTTGTCCATGATGAATAACTTCGATAAGAAAATGACAAATATATTATCAATTAATTTGCTAAAAGATAAAGAGTCAAATAAAATGGTGTTTACAAAAGATATGTTGATGAATAAAAAAATAATTACACCAAATCAAATGTTGATAATTTTCCGGCTCCTCGCGGCTGTAATGCGCATGCGCAGAACGATCATCGAACCCGATGTAATTGATTGCTCATAATAAAAATGGAATTAGAAATCTTGTTGTTTTTTCTCTTAGGAAATTACAACGTATAAAATTATGGTGTAAAGGATAATTTGCAGAGTCATATTCATAAATTTGAAAAGAATCTTAAACTTTCGTCATTAGATATTACTGATAGCACATTTAGCAGTAGCTGCAGATCTGTAGCGTTATGGTTTTATATATACTTGTCTTTGACCATAACGCTACAGAGTCCGTATGCAAAAAAGGTGCAATTTACGGCGCGATATTTTTTGCGCACTTTTGGGAGAATTTCTCCACTTTCCAGCATCGGTCAATAAACTACCTTTCACTCCCTAATTCTAGACACATTATTTAACTAATCTATATATTTTATCCATACCTACCCTTTATAGTCGTTTCTACAAGTGATAAACTCACTTGACTAAAATTATATGTTAGATTGCTAAAAAATCACTTCAAGCGAGTTTATTGCCTATAGCGACAAAGTCTATAGATGGTTGGGAGGTGGATAAAATATAAATATTGGCTACAGAATGTGTCTAGAATTAGGGAGTGAAAGGTAGTTGATTAACCAATGCTAGAAAGTGGAGAAATTCTCCCAAAAAGCGCGCAAAAAATATTGCGCCGTAAATTGCACCTTTTTGCATTACGGGATCTGTAGCGTTATGGTCAAAGACAAGTATAAAACCATAACGCTACAGTTCTGCAGCTACAGTAGCTTGAAGAATTTCTATACATGAAAACGCAGGTTAGTTTGCTACTTCAGAACATCGAATTTTCCAAAAGTGGTAAATTATTATTTGCAGTCAAATTAGAAAGAACTATAAATCACAAGACTACTTGAAATTTCCAATTAATAAATATTTTCGTTCTTTAAAAAACTTAGAATTTGTGCACATTTTCAAAAATTGAAACAGACAGAAGTTCAATATTAAAGCTTTGTATCCCAAGATTGTCGCAAATCACGTCCAAAATGGGTTTATTCCCCGAATGGCTACTGGAATAAAACAACAAGTAATTATCACACTCAATTAAGGGGCCTTCTAAGGGGTACAGGTAGACTTACCGGTATGAATAATCTACCATAATTGAAACAAAATAAAATGGAAATTCATCTCATTTTATTTTAATTTGAGCACTATATAAATATTTTGTATACATATTTTTTAAATAAATAATTTTACAAGCACAAATCATATTAAAAACTATAAATTATCTTGAAGTTCTATTGATTAGCAGCACTGATTTCACATTATATATGAGATAACACTGTTTCACTTTCATATAAAACATATTTACAATTTGTTTAGTCCATCTTCGTATATTTCTTTGCAACTAAAGGATTGCTATGAAAGGTGAAGAAGTTCATAAACTTCATCTGGATTTTATGATTATTTAATAGAATGTTTTGATAATTCAAAATGATAGATAAATAAAATGAATTAAACAAAACTTTATAGAAACACTTTATTTATCATACATATATATCTACCGGTATAATATTTAAAAAAAAACCACTTGTGTTAATTTATCTAAAAGAGTTTGAAAATGTAGCACAAAAAGGGATAATAATTTTTAAGTTCTCAATCAATACTATTAATAATTTGGGGAAAAAAATAAATTAAAGGTACCATAAAAATTTCACTTTTCTTAAATCTTAATTTTATCTACTTATATTTATATATATTTTTATTCAGTATATTTCGGAAAATAGAAAACCCTCTGAATTAAAATATAATTGAATGAATAAATCTGATTTACAAAATATTGCTTATCCAGGTAAAGACAGGTAAGTCTACCTCTACCCCTTAGAGGGCCCCTTAATTGAGTGTGATAATTACTTGTTGTTTTATTCCAGTAGCCATTCGGGGAACACACCCCAAAATGTATGATCCTCTCCCATCCTGGAGAGAGCTATTATGCGGACTACGAACCGCGGCTTGAGACAATATATCCCAAAAGAATATCGTTTTTGTCAGTGTTGTAAAGCTGTTGTAGAAAATGAAATACATGTACATTTCAATTGATTTCATATATGAAAAATTGCGAAAAAAGCATTATTCTTTGAACATCTGCAATTTAAATGATAACATGTTGAAAGAAAATCACTGTAAAGTTTTATTATCCTGAAAATGCATTCTAAAAGGCTATGCGAATCCTTACAGTCTTGAATCGCGTTCTTAAAATAAGCTCAATAATATAATGCATTAATCAGTTCATCTCTGTTCATATTATACTGTTTACAAAATGATTATATACATAAAGTAATTAAATTGTCTCGCAGTATTTTTTTTTTCGACCACAAGAATAGAAACACTGACGTTACTTAAGCGTAATTTTGATTTTGAATTTATTTTGATAGAGCATTACCAAAACAAGATATATGAACACTGTTAGCAAATCAGACTTTGGGAAGTTAGCTTTTTATAGCAAAATTGTGAATCAAAATGAGTACAAATTGCGGTTATTTAAAACTACCTTTGAAAACAAGATATGTTTTTGAAACACTATGCGCCCGGCGGCAACAAAGTTCGAAAAAGCATATTTTTAGCATATAAGTCACAGTCTAGGTCACAAAGTCAATGATCTTGGTGTCATTTGAAAGAACTTGATTAGTGAAGTATACATACCAAATATGAAGTCTTTATCTCTCATGGTTCAAAAGTTATGGTGAAGGTTAAAAAAAAACTATTTTTAGCTCATGGGACACAGTCAAGGTCACAGGGTCATTGACCTTAGTGTCGTGTGAAAGGGCTTAATCAGTGGATATACATGCCAAATATGAAGACTATCTTTTATGGTTCAAAAGTTATGGCGAAGGATAAAGTTTGCAGAAAAAAACTATTTTTAGAATATAGGTCACAGTTAAGGTCACAAGGTCATTGACCTTGGTGTCATTTGAAAGAGCTTAATTAGTGGAGTATGCATGCTAAATATGAAGACTCAACCATTCATGGTTCAAAAGTTATGGCGAAGGTTAAAGTTTGCAGACAAACAGACAAACAGATAAACAGCTAAACTGACAGACAGACAGGACAAAAACAATATACGCCTCGGATCTTTCGATCCCGTCGCATAAAAAGTTGTAGATCTTTATTAACAAAATTAAGGAGCAGTGCCAATCCATGCACTGTACTAGTATATTGAAACGGGTTGATACTGTAAACCCCCTATTCCTATAGATTGGTATTCATGTAAATTGTTATTTGAAGACGAAAAGCATTTTGTTCTTTATTGTCCATAGTATGACCAATATAGATGCAATTACATGTATATATTTAATGTAAACACATACATTATTGATAACCCCATTAGAAAAATTGTCAATCCTACAAATGTTTCAACTGCTAGAAGGATCTTAGTGCTTTGACACCAGAAACAGGACCTGAGAAAAGAAAGTCAAAAATGAATATTAATATCGAGAAATATACAATATTTTCTTCCCCTCATACTTGTTACTTTGTATGTGCAATTATGCATGTATTAATCGTGTTAATTATGCCTCCGTAAACGTAGTTTCGGGGGTGTATAGTTTTTGTCGTGTCCGTCCGTCTGTCTGTCTAGCTGTCTCTCTGTTTGTCTGTTTGTCCGCAAAAACTTTAACCTTGCTCATAGCTTTTGATTTAGTGGAGCTATGACTTTCATATTTCACATGCGTACTCCTTGTGACAAGACCTTTCGCTTGGTACCACCAAATTTGACCTTTTGACCTTGACCTTGGGGTTTGACCCACTTTTACACAAAAATCCAAACTTTTACTTTTACCATATCTTTTGAACAGTAGATACCAGGACATTTATACTTCACACATGTATTCTTTGTGGAAAGGCTTCTCATTGGATATCAACAATCTTAACCTTTTGACCTTGACGAATTCCGTACTTATGAAAAAACTTTAACCTTGGCCATAACTTTTGAATGGTAAGGGCTAGGGCTTTCATAATTCACAAATGTAATCCTTGTAAGAAGTCCCTTCATTGGTACCAAGAACTTTGACCATTTGACCTTGACCTTAGGGTTTGACCTACTTTAAAAAAGCAAACCTTGACCATAACTTTTAAAGGATTAGGGCAAGTGCTTTCATACTTTACATATTCAATTCTTGTGACAAGAACTTACATTTGATAGCAATTAGAGACCTTGACCTTGACTTTGGAGTCTGACCTACTTTTTAATTTTTTTTTTACCTTGGCCATAATTTCTAAACGTTAGGACTATGGCTTCCATACTTTACATACGTATTCTTTGTGGCAACGCAAGACATTTCATTGGACACCAATTACCTTGATCTTTTGACCTTGACCTTGGAGATTTTCGTACTTATGAAAAAACTTTAATCTTGGCTTTAACTTTTGAATGTTAAGGGCTAGTGACCTCATACTATACAAATGTAATCCTTGTGAAAAGACCCTTCATTGGATACCAAAACTTTGACCCTTTGACCTTGGAGTATGACCTACTTTTAAAAAGCAAACCTTGACCATAACTTTTAAAGGTAGGGCTAGTGCTTTCATACTTTACATATTTAATCCTTGTGACAAGACCTTACATTTGATAGCAAGACCTTTGACCCTTTGACCTTGGAGTTTGACCTACTTTTTAAAATTTTTAACCTTTGCCATAACTTTTGAAGGGTTAGGGCTAGGGCTTCCATACTTCACAAATGTATTTTTTGTGGCAAGACATTTCATTGGATACCAATTGCTTTGATCTTTTGACCTTGTGCTTGGAGATTTCCAAACTAACCCTGGCTTGATTTCATATTTCAGAATTGTATTTCCAGTGAGTTTGCATTTAAGAAAAGTTTAATCTTCGATTTGTTGCCATACGGGGGCATCAGTGTTTCATAAACACATCTTGTTTTTGTTACGTTATTAATAAATTAATGTTTATGAATGTATGCCGACATGGTAATTGTCAATAAAGTAAATTAATTGAATAAGAAAGAAGATTCAAACAAGA